TGCAGAATTTAAATTTGTTTCACTGAGTGCAAGCAAGTCTGGTGAATTTTGCAGGAGGTAAGACTCAACTGACGGAAAGTTGCTTCGCAGACCACAAATATTTGTAAAAGATATATTAAAACATTTAGGTGGTGGGGATGGTTTTTTAGGTTTAAAATTTTTGGTTACTTTGGTCATGATTTGGGTTTAATGAGAACTTGACTCATTCATAGATAGAGCACAGCCTCCTAATCAATGAGCTATGCAGTTGTCTCAGTCCTGTTAATTAACCCCAAGCCGTGACATAGGGCGCCTTATGTGGCCTTGACAATGCACACCAAAAGCATTAACAGGGACACCATCCATGCGCAACATGGCACTGTTAATACTCTGATATTTTGCAGCTGTTGATGGAATCAGCCTCTCTGAGAGCTACCACAGAGTTCAGGAAACCTTACAACCAACCGGCCTCAGAACCATTAAACTGAGTTTTAGAGCTGTACCCTCATATGGAGATAACAGGAAGAGTTGCATAGCCATTATCAAGGAGGCATAAGCAAAATTCTGAGTAGAGTCAAGGAGATCCAGCATTCATCATCCTAGGCAGGAAACAATGTAACACAGGTTACATCTACGCCAGTCTAATAGATGAAGAAGGAGTTCAAGGCTAGTTGGTTAGCAGAATTTTTCTGCTTACCCCTAAAGTCTTTGCCTAGGAGGCCTTCTACAAGACAGTAGCTGGATGCAGTTAACATCTGCCCTTTTACGCAAATAATTATTTTGTTTTGACAATTTAACCGTGGCTATTAACATGTTTTCAGAAGAAAAAAAAAAATTAAAACTCTGAGATTATTTAAATTTTTAATTCAATTTGAATTAATAAATTTTGGTTATTTTATCTTAAATAAGCTTTTATAATATTATAGGAAATGCATTAAAATAATGTATAAATATACCAAGGGTTGAATTAAGTGATTGCCATTTGGAAAATCTGGAAAAATATCTGGTCTTCAAAATTTTAGTTTATACAAAACTGTGTACTTTGTTTTTATGAAGCAAATTAGTCAAAATTTGTTAGCAAATAAATTATAAAAACAAAACAAATCAATAAACTTACGACTACAAAAGTAATAACACTTTAGTCACTAACTGCATTATTAAATTAATAACACTGTAATAGTGTTATTACTTTTATAAAGCACTTATAACTTTTATCGTTTATTCTTTGTTTAAACAACATAAGTTAACTCAAATTTTAATTGAAGTCAAAAAACATCTAGAAAAAATATAGTGGATATTCATATAATACTAAAAACTTCTACACTATTATAGTGTTATTACTTTTATAATGCAGTTAGTGACTAAAGTGCTATTAGGGATATTTTTCCAGATATCACAAAAAGCAATCGCTTAATTCATTTCATGCTTTGTTTAAACATAAGTTTTTATTTGTTAAATTTTTTTTTTTTTTTTAAAGATACAAAATACAATAACTAATATATAAAATAATTATTAAATCTAAAGAAAAAATTATTCTCTCCATTTGAAGATAAGGTGTATTTTTTAAAAAAGATTTTTTTAAATAATTATTTTTTCTTAATAAACTTTATTTGTCTACTTTCTCTAACTTAATAATTTTTTCCACTTTACTAATTTTATTATCAAATTAATTCATGATATATCAGTATAATGTAATTTTATTGTTCACTTAGAATTTCTCTTAGCCAAGTTTTGTTTTGAAATGATTCCTTTAATTGCAAAGTATTATGATGTTACATAGTAAAGCGCATTTTCTTTGATTATCTTATATTTAATTTTAAAATATTTTGTCAATATTTTCAATTTGCTAACAGCTAATCTGTTTAAAATTATCAAACCACTTTGAGTATATTTAATGAAATACTTTAGTATATAAGTTAATTAAATCTAGACAATAAAATTTAATTAATTATTTCTTGTTATCCAAGTCCTCTAGCAGCTTATGGATCGCATTTATACAAAATGTTAGGCAGATCATGTTATGAAAAAAAATTTATCTTTTTATTTACCTTGCATTTATTTTTAAGATAAATGGAAGGTGCTCAAATACGCCTCTGAGTCTGAAATTATTTTTGTTGATATAATTTAGACAAACTTGCAATGCAGTGAAATAAAAAAAGGTGAAAACATAATTATATATAAATAAAACTGCATATAACACTGGGGAACAACTTGAAACTTTTTTATGTTTACTTTGACTTTTATGCTGTTTTAAATTAAAGTTGCCACGCTAAATCTAAACTTGCCTTCACTTTTTTTCCAGCATATCAAATTTTTACTGTATGGCTTATCTCTATTCTTTAGTTGTAGTAAAGCTTTGTTTACATTGATTATGATTGGCAAAATTTCAATTTATAATTGAATAAAGTGTGCTTAATGGTGTTTACAGCTTCCATTTGGTCAGCATAATCAATATATTTAAAAATTATTTCAACGTATGCTATTTATTTTTACTTTTCTAAGCTTATAACAATTTCTTCTTAGTGTTTTACTGAATAACATGGGTATGTAAATTATATCACTTTATTTCAGATATTGCTCATACTTCTTTAGGCCATATATGTACAAACAATCCTGACTCCTTTTGCTATATTTGCAGTTGTTTCATAATTCTAAGTCAGATAAAAAACATCAGTACATTTGATAAACAAGCATATTTTGCATTATATAAAAAAAAATTTGGTGATCAAGACAAACCATGGGTCCCTCACAAAGTATGCAAGAAATATGTTTAGAGTTTACATCTACAGGCCGAAAGAAAACGTGAAAAATTGTTATTTGGTATTGGCGAGAGAAAAAAGATCATTGCACAGTCTGTTACATTTATTTAGTAAATACATCAGGATTTAATCATCTTCAGCTATTAGACCAACGCCTGATTCTATTGAAATTCCAGTGCTAGTTTTTGAACAACCACCTCAAGTAGAAAACCTAAATGATGTTGAAGAATGCAATGACAGCAATAATATAGATTTTGAAATTCTTGAGCATTTAGTTTGTAGGGGATTTGATCAGCTGAATTGAATGATTTAGCACGTGATTTGGGTCTCTCAAAAAAAACATCGGAAATTCTGGCTGCAAGACTAAATGAGAAATACTTGCTTAAAAAAGGAGTGAAGGTATCATACTTTCGATTTGAGTAAGTACATTTTTGCAGTACTTTGAAATTAACAGCAGTTTTATATTTTGCAACAACATTCCTGATTTACTGAAGGAACTAGGACTTTTAATCTTCAATCCAGATAAATGCAAATTTAATAGCTCAAAACAGAACTTGAAGTGTGACCTTGACAATTTATATAGTGCAGCTCCTATTGGGTATTCGGTTATTCTTCATAAAGAATATGAAGATTTAAGACTGTCATTGAGTTATTACAATATAACATACACAACTAGGTCATCTGTGTTGACTTTATCATGGTGTGTTTTTTTCTTGGACAGCAATGCGGGTAAACAAAATATTCCTGCTTTCATTGTATGTGGGATAGCAGAGCTCGATAAAAGCAGTGGATAGAGACAATATGACTCCAAGATCAGATCTTAAACTTGGAGATCCCAAAATTTTAAATGAGTCACTTGTTGGCAGGAAGAAAATAATATTCCTACCACTGCACATAAAACTAGGTCTCTTAAGACTGATGTAATATCAGACCTTGAGAAGAATGCTTAGTTATCATTCATAGATGTTGTCAAGGACTTTCTTGGAAATACATGGACAAGTAATTAAGCTGAAATTGTGCAGAACTATTAGAGAGCACTTGTAAGTGGTTGTAACATGAGTACTAAACTACATTTTATGCGATGCAAAAAATATAAACATTGTATTTCTTAATTCCTTGTACTTGATAGTTTTTTATACAATTTTTTTTATATTTTTGATATTAAGTGACAACCTGTCATTAACAAGTACAATAATCTTCATAACCTTCAAAAACATGAGGACTCTATGATTAAAAAACTTGATGCAATAGAGAAAAACTAAAATTAATTTTGGATTTCTTACCAAAAAATAGTTGTAATAAAAAACTGTCTGCAAAAATTGGGTGACAATAATAGTGTCAAAAAGTAAATTTCAGAATAGTGTTGCATATATAAAAAAGGCCTGTTGCAAAAAAAAAAGGAATAGTGTCACAAATGAATTTAATGAATAGTGTTGAAAACAAAACAAAAAGGAATAGTGTTGCAAATAGCAAAAACAGAATAATGTCGCAAATAGTTAATTTTAATTGCTTACTCATTTAGCTTATCTTTATAGCATATAGCTTTTACAGAAAAAAAAAAAAAAAAGAATAATGAAAGAAAAGATTGCTACCTAACCCTAAACCCTCAGTTTATGTAACGCACTCAACGGCAGCAGGCTATAAGATAGTACTTAAACCCCAGGCAGCAGGCTATTTCAGTATGACATCAGACATGTTATCTAAATACATACTTATAGCTTTTTTACTTTTGTTACTATTCAACTCCTTTAGAACATTATTTCTTTTTCCATTTTCAACACTATTCTTTAAATTCATTTGTGATACAACTCCTTTTTTTTTGTTTTTGACACTATTCCCATTTTACTATTTGGGACACTATTTCTCTTTTTTTTTTTTTTTTTTTTTTTTTTTTTTTTTTTTTTTTTTTTTTTTTTTTTTTGACACTATTCATTAAATTCATTTGCGACATTATTCTTATTCTGTTATTCGACAATCAAAGCTATTTTTTTTTCGCATTTTCGACAATTAAAATTTGCAACAATAAAAACTCCACCACACCCAAAAATTTCGTTCCCAAGTGTAATATTGGTTAATAATTTAAATAAAATTCATAAACAATAATTTTAAAAGCTTTTCAATAATAAAAAAAAAAGTTAATTCTTTTTAAAATAATTTTAAAAACTCATCAATTCTAAATAGGAGGATTTAAACCCCAACAAAAAAAAAATTCACCTTTAATTATTAAAAAAAAGATTTCAAACAACTTTATATAAATCTTACTTTAAACATTTTCTTTTTATCAGCTTTCTCTTTTTCTGCAATAGCTTTAAGCTTATCTTTTATTGTTACTGGCTTTTCATCTTCTTTTTCTTCTTCTTTTTTAACTTTTTTAGTACTACTTGTATTGGATGATTGATTTTCATATTCTTCTAACCTAATATTTAAAATAAATTTAAAAAAAAAATAATAATAATGAAAGTATAAATAAAGGAGATAATACCAAATAATAAAAACTAAAAGAGAAAATAATAATAATAGGTATATTTACACTTTTACTTCTATCTTACTGTAGGATGAGTGATACCCTTAGTAAAGTATAATTTTCTGCCTTCTGAGTTAAAAAATTACATTTAAAATAATGATTTGTCATTGAAATTTTCTACCTTGGAGGTATTATTTTTTTCTATAAAGGTATGATTTTCTACCTTAGAAGGTAAAAAATTATACCTTACTAATGGAATATTACATATTAGGGCAGGTCGAGTTTGGAATCAGAAGTTTGGTAATAAAGAGATTTGCTTATTTAGTGAAAAAAAAGTGTTTGGTTAAAGCTTTTTTATTTTAAAGAAGTTTAGGTTGAGCTAAAATGATTTTTAAGTATTTATAAATATAATTAAAAATTCTTTGTAGTTTTTACCATTTACAGTTTCAAAATTAATGATTATCACTTATGACAGTAAGTGATCAAAAAGTAAAGATAGTCAAACAAGCGTAAAAAAACGTAATAACACAACTTAAAAATAAGTTTGATGTAGATCCTATTTTAAATACACCCACAGATTAGAATCACCCACAGTTAAGAACCACCCACAGTTAAGAACCACCCACAGTTAAGAACTACCCACAGTTAAGAACCACCCACAGTTAAGAACCACCCACAGTTAAGAACCACCCACAGTTAAGAACCACCCACAGTTAAGAACCACCCACAGTTAAGAACCACCCACAGACAGATTATTAAAGATCTTTATTTTCTGAACAATATCTAAGTTACAGTTTCAGCATAACTGTAAAACTCATACCAAAAAAAATAATTATGATATAGAAAAAAGTTAATTTTTTAGAAAAAAAGTCAGAGTGCTTCTTAAAATCTCCAGACTAATAAACCAAAATAAATGTAAACTAGCAACAGAAACAAATACTTCTAAAAAACTTTTAAAAGAAAAAGACCTTTTGACACTAGTTCCCAGCTCTTGTGATCATTAGTTAAAAAAAAAAGGAAATCTTTTTAAAATAAAATAAGTTTTATTAGTATGATAAAGTACATTACTATGAATTTCATCATTTAATATTTTCTGTTCTGATACTGATATTCAATGCACTACTAATACTAACTTCATACTAATAAAATGATATAGTACATTATTATAAATTTCATATAAAGTTGCTCGATGTTATTATTTAATTTTAAAATGTAGACTCCTGTAAAAGATAGATTATAATTAAAAAATAGAGTAAGATTTGGTCCAAAAAATCATTTAAACTTGTTTTAATTGATCATGAATGGTCTAGAAACATATCTTTTATATTTTAAACAATCACTGCAACAGAAAACCAGTTATCTTTTATATTTTATTTAGCGCCAGTTCTAGTGTGGCAACTCACTAAAGCTTGAGTTTTAAATTAAAAAGTAGAAACTGGAGTTTTGATGTCTAAAAGTTGAATTCTGTGATTTTTTTTTAATTTAAAATTTATTTCTTGAACAAAAAACAAAATTTTTAGCATAACTTAATAATTTCTATCACAGATATGGAGCCTGAAAGAAAATCATTAGGATTTTACAATCTTTAGAAACTTTCAAAGTATGAATTTAATCATTTGATTAGATATGATACAGGAAGTTCAATTAGAACACTAGAGAATGCTCTTGCACTTGATTTTTCAGAGCTGTTTGAAGATGTAGCAATCACATCAACTTTAGTTATAGACAAATCCAAAATAGACAGTCAAAAGAAGATGGTTAAAGTTTTATCAGACTTGAAATCTATTTAAAATAACATAGAACTTAATTTTTTTTTTTTTTTTTTTTTTTACTTTACTTCACCTCCTCAAGGCCGAGAAGGCCACTACAGACGAGGAGGCTACTTATTTTGTGGCTATAACCCTCTCTCAACTCTATAACTCCGAAACACGAACCTTGACGAAAAAGGCCGCTGCGCGGAGAAACGAGTTGAGCGCGGTACTACCAGGGACGTGGTGGGGATCGAACTCGGAACCACTCGTTTATGAAACGAGCGCTCTACCACTACACCACTACCGCATTTTTGCATATTTGCTTTGGTATTGATAGTAAAATTGATAATGAAACTTATGTTGTAAGAAAAATAAAAATAGAAGATAGTAAACTTGTACTAAAGAAATCTACAGAAAAAGAACATCATATGACTGTGAGTAAAGAACTTATCACTAACCTTGGTTCATTAACCAAGGTAACTTATTACTAACTTGGTTCACTGACGCGGAGTATCTTACTCCTAAAGTTTTCTTGTTGCAGCAACAGGAAAAAAACAACCTCAGAGTTTCACAATTTAGATTAGTCCCCAAGCCAGATTGGGGTGGCACTGTGTGAAGGTGTTTGTGGAAATCATAGGCATCGAGTGAACAAAAGAAAAAAAAATTAATGAAATACTTAATCGAAAGTTTAATTAGGTATAAAAAATGCTAACTAGGTAATTTTTATAATACTACATACTATTGTTATTAAATAAACAAACAAAAATTAAAGATTGAAAAACTAAATTTAATGAAAAGATATTTTAAAATTTTTACTTAACTAAATCGACTTTTAACCGATTGGTTGGAGGTCTATAGTCGAATAAATTGATTATTCAATTTAGTTAGAACGCTAAGGAACATTTTAAATAAAATATTTGCATTCTAGTATAAAATTCAGACCATTTTTTGCAAGAGAATATTTTTAAAATGGTAATATCTATTTATAAAGAGAATATTTTTAAAATGGTATATCTAATTTAAAAATAATTGAATCCCTAATTTATAATACTATGTCCGAAATGCCACCGTAAATGTTCCTTGTAAAGCTTTTGAACACTTCTTTAAAGATAAAATCGCTCATGAATTGAATGAATGAAGAATTTGTTTTAACTTAATAAAATTTTCCAGGACTTAATTTTTGAATTGTTTAGAAAATAACTCTATAATGTCAAAATTTTACTTCCTAAAAAAAGTTGTAATTCAACCTACCCTATTACATATCCATATAACATATAAAATTTTTATATGTTATACATATCCATATAACATATAAATTTTTATATAAAATAAAAAAAAAGGGTTTTATTTTATTATATTGTATATTAAGCATAGGGTTGCCAGATGTCCAGCTTATACATTGGAGCTTGTACAGTGCCAAAGCTATAAAAAGAAAGATCTTTACTGTATTCTCCTTCGTAAAAGGACATCTGGCAACACTAATTTAGCAGCACTTATTTGTTTTTGAAACTACAAGTTTAAAAATGTATGATTTGGTTGATTTCATATTTTTTAAATATTTAATCCTTTCTGCAACTACTAATGCCGCATTATGCAACATTATTCTTCATTGATGGCTAACTATCAAAATGACTTCTAAATGTTTCAATACAGTGGAGTATGAAACATTTAGAACATTAGTCCATAAATTAGTGGTTTTGTAAGGGCTCATACGGTACTTGCTACTAAAAAGTTTCGCTGTTGTGACAAGGAGGAGGTAAAAAACAGTCAAAAATTGCGTGACATAATTTGTGGACAACCCTTTACTGCAATAATAAAGAAAGAGATAGCTAGTGCAAAGCTTTACAATATAAATAGTAAAAAGTTAATTATTTTAGTGATGCCAAAGGATGATGCCAAAATGCAACAACTCCTTATATATCAAGCAAATAATCTCCTAAATGAATAGGACTACAGATTATATAAATAATTTTGAAGAGTTGTATAAAAAAAAAGTATTATTGTATTAATGAATGAAACATAACAATTAATTTATAAAATATCATTATAATAATTTAATATATAAAACATAAAATACACCTAAGTATCAATTTTTAATTCATTTATGTAATATTTCAGTCTGATTAGCTCAGACCATTGTCAGATGTAAAGTAAAATACAATATTCACAAAAAAAGTTTGTGTAAAAAACTATTAAGAATACATTATAAAGATGAACTGGTGAAGCTGAAAACTATTTTGAGATTTCATTGATTTTTGCTATTTGACACTTTTAACATCGTTGTCCTTCTTCAAAAGCGGTGGGAAGCGCCTTATCTTGTAATTCATTTTGGCATAACTAATCTCAAGGGATTCTCTTATTTTTCTTTCATGGTAGTTAGAACTAAGCACGATTGATTGGGTGCATCCAATTAAATATACTGTGGCAATCTTTGCAGTGTTCTATGTCTCTCTAAAATTTCTCAAAAATCAGTGCAGAGACTTCCGATATGGCGGAGGCTTTTTTATAACAATTTTATAAATAAATTTAAAAAAAAAAAAATAATAAAAATAAAAAAAGACAAAGAAAAATAAGAAAATAAGAAAAATAAATATAAAGAGAGTGAAAAAAAGAAAAGAAAATAAATGAAAAAGCAAAAAACAAACAAAACACCAAATTAAACAAACTAACCAAAATAAATAAAAAATAATTTTAAAATTTTATTAATTTTGAGGGACGTTTGTTTTTTGTTGTTGTTGTTGTTTTTTGTTTTTGTATTCTTGGGTATTGTTAATTGGGCTTTGTAGAGTATAATTCATTTTGTTATATAATTTAGTGTGTTGTTTGCATCGTATGTTTTTTAATTAAAATGTTTTTAATTTTATGTTAGTTGGACATTTTAAAAATGTATATATTTTAAAACTTTTTATCTATATGTGTATGTATAGATAGCTATGTGAGTGTATGTACATGCCCGTGTGTATTTATGTGCAAATATGTGTGTATCTATGCATGTGGGTAAGTATGTGTATATATCTTTATATTTGTGTTTGTGTGTGCATGTAACAATATTAAACTTTCTCATTTTTTTTAATGCTTTTTTGTTTTTCTTTATTTGATCTTTAATTTTTATCATGTTTTTTGTTATAGTTTTATTTCTTTTAGTTTTAAATATTTATCGTAGCCACAATTATTACTATTTTTATCTTTACTGTTATTATTCATTTTTGTATTATTTTCTATTTAATTAAATGTTTTATGTTCTTTTTAGTTGTTACGTTTTATCAGTCAATTGTTGGTAACTAACTTATATGTATATTTAGCTATTGTGTTTATAAAAACAAGTGACTTATTATTTGATTATTTTTTTAATTTGATTAATATTATAATTGTTATTGTTGTTGTTTTTTTATTATCATTGTAGTTCTTATTTTTATTACTATAATTATTATTTTTATTATTATAAATATTATTCTTATAAATATTACTAATTATATATATATATAAGATCTATATTTTTGGTGTTTACTTGATATTAGTAGAATTACTATTCGTAAATATCCATGAAATTATTTTTCAGAATATATATATGACATGATATATAATATGATAAATTCCAGAAGCATGTTGATTGCCTTTCATGCTATTTACCTGATACTTAATACTTCTTTGTTTAATTTTTTTTTGTTTCTCCAATATAAATACCACAGGATGAACATGTAAGCTTATACACACCCAGTTTGCTATTTGGTAATAATTTAGATTTGTTTTTACAGTTTTTAAAGTTGGCGGTGCTGTAAATATAACTTTAACACTGTATCTTTATTATTTTGTTTATTTTTTTATTTATTTATTTGAATTTTCATGTTATATTTTTCTATACAATATTTTTATATCCGAATATATAATTGGCTTAGCATAGGAACAGCCACAAATAGTCATTAAGACTAATCCAAAGTAGCGTCCGTTATTGACCAACATTTTTGCTGAGTTGGCGGTGGCGGGTTTTGAACTCGTATTGTTCAACAGTCCAGGTTTTAACTTTTCCTTTGATGCTCTAACCATCTGAGCTATCCCGCCACATTATTTCCTGAGCTCTTTCCTTAATTTTGATCCTAGTTTTGGAATCCATGGTAGTTTTATTGTTATGTAATCATTTTTTATTTTATCTGCAACTTTGCAGACAAAATAACGTTGGTTATAAAAATTGCAAATTTTATTTGCAATTTTTATAACCAACAGATTGATTTTGATTTTTTTGCTCCAACTCTGATCTTTTATGGCCATTTTCGATTAAAAACTTTTTTTTGATAGACTAGATAGAGTTCTGGCTTTTCTTTATGTGTTGTCTACTATTAAATATGATTTATTTTCATCTGATTTATCATTGGAAATCAAGAACAAAAATATTTACTAAAAACTAAGACACAAATAAATTACAATAAGTATTACAAAAACTTTTTGTTGTTAATGTTTATTTTTGGGTTAAAGGGGTTAACCTGTTTATTTACATGAGGAAATAGGTACTCTGATGCAACTTTTAAAGTGATAAAATAGCTTTAAATATTTTTATTCTGTCTTTTTTTTTTTAATAATCACATGTTTTATTTGAATCTTATTTCAAAACTTTTTTTTTAGCTTGGGCTTTGGAAAGGCCTTCTAGATACTGTATTTAGAGAACAATATAAACTTTTAGCCCACTATTACACTTCTCTTTTGATACCAAGTTATAAGCATTTAGATAAGAATTAACAAAATTATAACAACTTGAGAGAAAAAAAAAATTTAACCATGGTTTCTTTAACAAAGCCATTTATCATTGAATTAGAAAATCCCATAAATTTTTGTAGAATTGTTGTATTTTATAATTTTTTTACCATTAAAAAAACTATATTAACATTATAGAATTTAATATCTAACATTGTTTGTAAAGCCTCTACTGACAAGCGGAAAAATAAAATTATTTTAGGCCGCGTAACTCTAGGATTACCCATTATAGAATTTAATTAAGTTAAAAATTTCAATCCTTGTACCTATAAACAATCATTATTTTGCATTATTAATCTTTATTATTCAATTTAACCAGTTTAACAATTAATAAAAATAAATAGCAAACAATAATTAAAATACCTTTCTATAAGATCTGCTTTTTTCCCTTTTTCATCTAAATTCCTTTTAAGGCACTCAGCTTTCAATTCAGGTACTTTTAAGTCAGAAAATTTTATTGGCAAGGTTTCTTCTATTGAAGAGGCTTTTTGCTGTGCTACTTTACGCTTTGGAGGCATAATTATTTGCTAATACTTAAAAAAAGTATATGAATTATATTCAATTTTTCAAATAAAAAAATAAAATAACCATAAGGCTTATGCCATATATTTATACATGACTAATATACTATATAGGTATGTATGTGTATGTATGTATATATGTATGTATGTATGTATGTATGTATGTATGTATGTATGTATGTATGTATGTATGTATGTATGTATGTATGTATGTATGTATGTATGTATGTATGTATGTATGTATGTATGTATGTATGTATGTATGTATGTATTTATGTATTTATGTATGTATGTATGTATGTATGTATGTATGTATGTATGTATGTATGTATGTATGTATGTATGTATGTATGTATGTATGTATGTATGTATGTATGTATGTATGTATTATACATATTATAATGTTATATATATTTAAATATATATATTATATTTATTATATATCATACATATTATAATGTTATATATATTTAAATATATATATTATATTTATTATATATCATACATATTATAATGTTATATATATTTAAATGTATATATTATATAGCATATCCGCCGCGGATAACATACCGAAAGTAGGTATCTTGCGAAGCATGCTTAAATAAATGCGTTTATTGAGAAAACAAATAGATTACTCAAAACAGATCAAAACTCATAAAACAAATTGAGACAAACTCATAAAACAAATTGAGTACCCAAGGAGGTCGTCCACAAATACGTCACGCAATTTTTTGACCCCATATTTCCCCCCCCCCCTCTTCCCTTCGTCACCACTCTAGTAACAAATTTTGTATGGAGTCGTCCCAAAACCACTAACTCCTCCACCCGCAAATTGCGCGATTTTTTAAGGATCTAAAAAATCCATAGGTAAAACTTTAACTTTGCTAGGTTCCAAATAAAATAATTAAAATTTTTCAACGAATGCGTTAAAAATAGCTTCTCATAAATTATATTGCACTTCTAAAAATTTAAAGCAATTTTAAATAGTTTATATAAAACATTAATAGATAACACTCATTGCATATCAAAAGTATAATTCTAATTCTACAAGTGAAAAAAGCAATATGTTTTATTATAATCCAAGCTAGCGAAATACAAGTTAATAGACAGATTAATCAACCTTCTTGTTGGTTTTTATTGATAAAACGAATAATAGGTAGTTTCATTACTAAGACTTACTTCCAGAGGCGATTTTACGGAGGGGGGGGGTGATACCAACCCCCACCCCCCACCTCCACCCCAACCCCCAAAGAAGTTGATTTTCAAGTTATAGTCGGGTTTTTTACGAATTTAGTCGGCTATTTGACACAATTTAGTCGGTTCAATTTTTGTTTTGAGGACTTTTTTTTTTTCTTAAGAGGCTAGTCGGCATTTTTTGAGGATTCAAAGGGTCCAAAATTTTCAGAAGTGTTTTATAAAACTTCAACAAAGTATGGAATGGTTGAGAGATTGTAGCTATGTTACTCTCCTAAATTAGATGCGGTATATTGCAAACTTTGTTGGTTATTTTCAAAAATCCATAACAATTGGCAAACACGGTAAATAGAGACTGGCAAGGCCTTTCAAAAAAATTAAAAGTACACGAAAAAAGTAATCATCGCATGCAACTATGTTAAATATATGATAAGTGGAAACATTCAGAAATAATTGATAAAAGCTTAGAAGAGGAAAATCTATAAGAATCAAAATTTTGGGTGCAAGTGTTAGAGCGGCTTGTTAGTATAACATTAGTACTTTCTAAAAATTGTTTAGCTTTCATTAAGTGGTTATCGCAAATCATTTGAGGATGAATATAATGGTAATTTTATAATCCAAGTACACCTTTCTTAAAAATATGCCCATGGAACTATTAAATATTTAAGCCATCAAATCAAGGATAATTTTTTTTATTGTTTGTTACACGTTTGAAGATAACGTTAATCACAAGTATTAACAATGCCTTTTTTTATACAATTATCATGGATACCACGCAAGACATCGCAAAAAGAGACCAACATTATTTGAACGAGATATTTTGAAATTTTGTGATTTATTTGGAAGTCGAAACTCTTTGCATGTTCTACCTATTTAGGCAGTCGATGTATGTACACTCCATGCATGTTTAACTTATTATAACCATAAGGCTAATTAATTTACTAACCATCAACTAATTAATTTAGGAACCAGTATCGCGGAATGTATGTAAATTCCGCGATACTGGTTCCTAAATTAATTAGTTGATGAAACAAAAATGATTTTTTTTTCTTTTTCAATTTCTGCAACAACAAAAAAACAACAACAGGAAAACATGATAGAAAATTATGATTTTGATAGCTGGAATGGTTTTTTTTTTCGGCTTTATTCCTCACTCATTTGTTCGAATTCTATTGAGGTTATTCATTTTTTCCTTTTTGGCGTTTGTTTCAAGTTTGTTTCTTTTTTTCATTTTTTTCGATGAGTTAATTTTTGTAATAATGAAATTCTTCGATCATTTTTGTTTTAAAGCAGGTATGCTTTCTCAATCAATCCTTTTCTAAAAAAATATGTAATAAAGTTTATCAAGACAATAAAAAAATGACATCTTTTTAAAGACTTTTGATTAGCCAAAGTAACTTTTTTTTTCATTTTCATTTTTTAGTTATTAAGGTGCTTTATGAAGTCGTTATCACAACTAACGGTCGTTATCGCAACTTACGGTCTTCCAAAAGTTCAACAAAGTTTTAAAATTGATATTTATCAAATTTAATTTACCACTTTTTCTTTACCAATTTTAAAGCTCTTTTTGATATTTTTAAGAGCCTAATGTTGATGAAAATGATCATAACTTTAAAGTCTTGTTTACTGTCCATTTTCTAGTTGTTGTTTTTTTCAGCTAAATGCCCTAAAATCTTGCATCAGACATTTTTGTGTCAGTAGAGCAACAAAAGTAGGAATAGATCAGTTACATTGAATATCTATGTTACAGTTTTAGCTCAGCAGTATAAAATAAGTACTGAGTAATTATTGCATCAACTTTCTTATGGCTTTTTATTATATCATGCGTTACTTATAAAATTCTATTGGGTAGATTTCTATTTTCTATTTCTAGTTTCTTCTATTTCATTGGGTTCTAGAACCCAATGAAATTTCAAGTGATTTTAATAAACTTTTGATAAACCTGTTCTCAAAAGACATTAAAAAAGTCCTTTATTTTTATATTGAAGTCTTTCAATTGCTCACAAAGAATGTCAATCAGCTAATTTTTGTTTTCTGTGATAGATACGTTTTTTTTTTTTAAGTAAGTAATAACGTGGTTATACTTAAACTACGTGTTGTACTCAACTTGTCAATCATTTTTCTATCATTGAGTGCCTTTTTCGATTTACCATTTTTATTTACCACTTTTAAATCTTATAATTCACAGGCAGTCACACTACCTGTGAAGTACATGAAATACATGAGATGAGTTGTTATAAAAAATAATGTCAGTTGTTTTAATAATGTACTTTTGAAAGACAAATGCATAATCTAAAGAATTGCACGACTATTAATTATGACAATATCGAGTTTGACTAAAATTTTAGATGAATACGCAATTTGGAGTTTTTTATTTTAAATCTTGGAACCACATTTAACACTCAAAACTCTAAGCTACCCTGATGGACCATGATTTTTTTCATCAGATGACATATTAACTCTTCCAAGAATAATGACGTTATTTATATTAGTTAAATCCAAAAAAACTCTAATATAAGGAACATGAAGTATACCTTTGGAATTAAAAGATTTACGCAGATTTTCAACCAAATTTTTGTTCTGTTGATGAAATCAAATTCATTTCTTAAAACTGTTTTTTTTTTTAAGTATACAGTGGGCCTATAGTTTACTCTTTAAAATTTATAACTAATTTAATACAGACTATATTCCATAAAAGTTAGATGAGTACGAATGATGTTTGCGCTTTTTATTAAGGTGTTCTTTTTCTATTATTTCTTTTCAATGAATACCTTAATTGGCATAGTAACAACGCATTTTTGGTATTTGCAGATATTTTACGAGCCGTGGCGCAGTGGTAGTGCACTTGCACTAGAAACAAATATCTGTGGTTCTAACCCCATCTCTAGGCAAGTTTTGCAACATCGGTTAGAACGAAGGCGTGAACTTCCAATTAATTGCTCATCCGCGGTGCTCTGTGATAAGACCGTAAGGACTTCTTTCGGCACTTAAATAAAATTTAAAAAAAAGAAAAAGTTTTATTGACTAAATTTGGCATGAGTACCAATTTGAGGTACCTAAAATGCTTAGTAACCAGATGCTTTTCTTAGTTACATACGAGCAAACTGGTTTTCAATAAATGTAAAACAATTAAAGATGAAGATAATTATTTATTTAGCAATAAATAAAACAAAAATTAGTGCAAGAAAATTACATGACAGTTTATTAACAATAATTTTGTTTAAGTAGTTGTAAAACACATGTTTTATGATTTGTTCGGTGTTATGTTGATTCACGCAGTGATTAAGTAACAAGAAGTCTATTAATCAGATCAGTATTTTTTTTCTGAATATAAGATTTTGATCAATATCCAAAACTTCAGCTGTTTGTTCATGTTACAAAAGCAGGCATTGAAGTATTGCCAATGTTACTTGTTCGAGAACCACTTTTGGCGAAATCAACTATTCCCATTTTGTTCATAAAATCAGTTTAAAGCTTCTGTTTAGTTACAAATTCCTTTTCTTTATGTTATTTAGATCATGCTTGCCACTTTCTAGTGTACTTTTAATATGCAAAAAATGTATGGAAGTCTTAAGGGTCTGCTTATGCTGTTGACGATAAATTTTGAATTCTCAAAATAGGCACCTTTTCATTGCTGTTGTTAAATCTAGTCAAATCTAATGGGACTAGACAGGTAATAAATAACGATTCTTCACATATTAAATTTCTATTCATATCGTGTTCTGATAAAACTTGTTTATAAATGCTTTGACCAGTAGCACCATCAAAACAAATCTTTCAGTACAATATTAACACGAGTCATTGTTTATATTGTACTGAATTCAATATCAAGTGGATCAACACAGGCTCTTAACTGCACATATTCTTGGCAAACTTCGGAGACTTGATTTAAACATCATATAGCTCAAATAAATATTAGACAAGATGTCAACGTGTGTCAATCATCAGTTATATTGCAGCAAAAAAGTATTTTTTTAAAGATTTTTTTTTTATATGTGATCTTCAAAGTATTACTGAGGTTACACGCTATAACAAATTTATGCAACAAAATGCATTAATTGGCACCACTGTGGCGTAGTCAGAACATGTTAACTGAACATGTTAACAGAACTGTTTCTTAAGTCATTTAGATCTTTCCGAATCTTAACTTTAAACTCTGAACGAATATATAAGAAATACTCTTTAAGATTTCTAATTAAGATTTCTATTAATTTACTCGGATTATACTTATGTTTTACTTACTAAGGTTATTTTCTAAATTTAAGACAATAAATTTTACTATATCATTATGAATAAAAATATTATTTCCTACGAGTGAAAAAAAACATATGATAATTTTTTAAAGAACTTTTATGTTTGTGTCTATTTAAAATTTTAGGATGATGTTCAACTTTAACATAATAATTTAACTAATTATAAAACTTTAGGTGTTGTTAAACAAAAATAAAAATTCAAAGTTTTTTATTCAAAAATAACTTTATAATAAAAATAAAAACGTATTATATATTTTATGCTAAAAACCAGAAAATCTTTCAAGAAATTCTCAAAGATATCTGTTATTTACAATAGACAGTTTAACACGTACGTTATATAAAATTTTTTAGGTACATATTCTATATAACAAATATATAAAAACGTAGGAGAGTTTTTGCTTTAAATGTTGCTCGCAGATTTATGACAATGTATGACTTCATACTTAATCCTCGAGTGGAATATTTCGGAATAAATAAGACATACTTTCGCAATTATGAATGCGACGTACAGCTTCCGATAAAACAGAGCTTATATCGACTTGTCGAATTTTAGGGCACTTTGTTAAAATGTGCTCCAACGGTAAGGTATTTGTAACAATGACCTAAAAAAATATTAAATATTACTAATACGTTTGAATAAAGTTTTAATAACAATGAATTTAAATCTGAAAACCTCTTCAATTTTTGAATCCATTATTAATTTGAGTGAATTTCCAGAAAAAAGACCATGGGTTGCGACAACATAAACGCTGAGAGCACCGCCATTGATAAGTATTAGAGCAGCATCCACGATCATCGTGGCATCATCAACTATATCTTCCTAAAAAAAGAGAAAAAATCTATATAAATAATAATAATTTATTTTTATTGTTATTGTAAATCAAAGTAAAGCTAATATTTTTGTTGTTAACTTTGTTATATGTATTGTTACTTACAACAATAATTGCAATTTTATTTCGCACATCTCCAACAATAGCTAAAGGCTTCTTCACTTTGGTAGGCAACCCTTGAAAAAATATTTTTAAAGTTAAAATTGAAAATACCAATAAAAAAAGAAAAATAATAAACATTTTTTAAGCACCGAACAATTACTAGATGTAATTAATAATAATTTATTACTAACAATATTGTTACCTGAATTTTTTTTTTTTTTTTTAATTTCTATAAAATATTGTTACATAAAAAGCAACATATATTATAATATAAAAGATAATAGGAAAAAATTATCTGTTGCTTATAAGGTCGAAAAATTCTAAAAATGATATTTTACTATTTTAATATTCTGAAAAATACCATGTTCAAGATTAAGTAGGTATGTAGTACTTAGCTCGCTTCCATAGTTTTCATAATCACCTACAAATAAATGAAAGAGTAACAAATTTAACAATTTTGACACATAAAACTTGAACAACTGAAAATAAATAAAACCAGAACTGAAAAAAAAAACTATAACTGCCTGGTTCCCTTACAACTGACTGCTACATCTTAGTCACAATTTAAAAATAAATGTTCATACTACCAAACAAATGTATCATTACATTTGTTTGGTAGAATTGGCTCAGAATGGTTTCTAAAATTTAAAAATAATCTGAAATGACATAATTCAAACAGAAAGGAAAACAAGATTTAGATAAACACCCGTTAAAAATAGTTCTAAAAAACACTGTTGTAAGACTGTCCTTCTGCCTAGATCACAAGACAATAAGAACACTCCTGATGTCTAGATCACAAGATGTAGCAGTGTATAAGTAAGAAATAACTTACAAACAAGTGCGAATAAATGACAACAAATTAACATACTTTACAATTACTAATTACTTTAATAACTATAAGGGGACATCAGTAAAGTAAATATGCAACTGTACGTTTTCAACAACCCCCTCCCCTCTCTGCATACTTATGCATTAATTATTACAAAATCGAATCATCCCCAACGCATAAATTTTTCAAAAAATTTAAAACAAAAATTTTTTTTAGTTAATTTGACATATATTACATAAAATAATACTGATTTTTTTTAACTTGTACAAAAAATAGAATCAGGTTTTAGGAGAGATAGAGTAGGAGAGATAATAAAACCACATATGCACTCGCTGTGTTTAACACACCCTCCCCCTTATATGCATCCATACATTTTTGGGTAATCCTCCCCCATACCTGCATACAAACTTTATGGAGGAACTACAATTTATAAACAAATTTTGAACCTAATTTATTTTTTATTTATCTTTATTTATATATATTTATCTTTTTATAAATTATAATTATATACTTCATACCTAATATAATTGCTCTTAAGAGGAATGGGTTCTAATGAGGACTTTATGTTTTTCTAGAAAAAATGTCCTCACTAAAAATCAACAAAAAAATAAATAATAAAATTGAGCCAAAAAAATTAATAAAACTGAGCCAAGTGAGAAAGATGGAGTATTTGATTTGCCTTTAATAACAATGTTATTGACATATTTTCCAAAAATCTCATGAATCGTGAGCCTTTTAACATAATAAAAGTTTTACGATTAGACAAAATCTTAACAATATAATATGTAAGAGTTTAAAGAGAGAGAGAAAAAAAATGATTATGACTTGAATTAGCAGCTGAAGAAAAAAAAAAAACATGGAAAAACAAAGCTCTGTAAGAGGAAAAAAATAATCATGGAGAAGCAAAGCTCAGTAAGATGAAACAAATGTTTCCATTCCTGCTTCTCATCTAAAAAAAAAAATGAAATAAAAAGCACATTTATCTACAGAAAAATTAAAAAAATTAATCTAAAAACTTCTTTTTCTTCTTTTTTTATAAAGATCATTTAACCTTTTTAGAATCTCTGTAAAAAGAAATATTTATACAAGTTTAATCTCATTCATACAATATTGAAACATTATAATTGTATTAAAATATTTAAAACATTTTAAATATTATGTTGCATTTAATTTAGCAATATACACAATCAACATTTTAGCAATATACACAACCATTTTAAAATTTTTAATTGATAAGCAACTCACCTATATGAACTGTGCATTCTGCACTACTTTCAGATGTAAATCTACTTCTACGAATAGCAGGAGGTGACTGCCTACCATCACAAAGATCAGAGTCTTCGTGTATGTGTTCCCCATGTAGGACAGCTATGTTTAATTGAAGACGCTCAGCAAAAGCATTGGCTCTAATAAAACAAAAAACCTTTTATATCACTATATGTGCAAAAACAACAATTTTCATGATATCACTATACATGACATCATTTTGTGCTAAAATTATTTTTATTAACTCTCACAAAGTTAAGTCAATCGAAGCAATATGCAAAATTTTTTTTAGATCTTTACTATGTTAACTATGAAACCATTTTTAATTATATAAAAAAAGTTAAATCAAATAATGGATAAAATAAATATAAAAAAATAGTTGACTTTTAAACTTAAGAAAGAGAAAAATCAAACTTTAACTCAAAAAAAAGGAATATATATATTTTTATATATATATATGTATATAAAGTGTTGTCTTAAGTACTATTAACAATGTTGTTTTTCATTTAAACAAAATTTATATATATATATATATATATATATATATATATATATATATATATATATATATATATATATATATATATAATTACCAGCTATTAAAAATTAGTTTGCGATATCAAAAGAGGACAGTAAAAATTTGTTGGAATGTCGACACTTAGATAATATTTCATTTTTTTTATTAAGCAGTTTGTAAGTAAGTGTCGCCATTCCAACATATTTCTACTGTCTTCTTTTGATTGTGAAGACAAAATAGTTACATCTTTAATTACATCAGAAATTGTTCTACCATTTTTTTCAATTCATTTGCAAAAGAGTTTGTTTTTACACCTTTTAAAAAAAAATATATTTACCTATACATCAAATCTTTTCAGGAGCATATTTAACTATATATCAAGCCTTTTCAGGAGACGCGTTAATTTAAAGAGGCTTTTTAAGTAAACAAATCATAAACTGGAAAAAGAAATAAACTTTACAGATGATAAAATAAATAAAGGATAAATTGAACCTTTAAAGTTAAATATTTTTCCTATATCACAATTATTTAGGACTTAAGTTGATATATTGTTACACTTAGGTGGCGAGGTGCAACTGTTATATTGGATGAGGGTCTTGGGCTTCCCAGGAAGCGCGTGCGGTCGTACGCTACGCCTAATGTAATTTGAAGTTAAAGTAAAGACAACTTAATTTTATGCTTTTGTTTTTTCTGGTTTTTTCTTTTATTTATTTTATCATTCATTTAAGATTTTTATTTTCATTAGTTTAGTTTTTTAATAAAGTTTTTTTTTTCATTTTTCTTTTTCTTTTAAGTTTATGATTTGTTATTTTTAATTTTAGCTTTAACTTTAAATTTATTTTCATTTATTGAGCGCATTTTTTAAACACTTAGTTTCCAAAAATTTGCAAAGAGTTGTGGTCAAGTTGTCAACAAAAAAAATTATGTGTGGTCATATATATATATATATATATATATATATATATATATATATATATATATATATATATATATATATATATATATATATGTATATATATATATATATACACTACTACCAGCTGTCTGAACCCATAAAATATGGATCTTTGTAGATTTATTTCATACCAACCATTTCTATACTTATTCTTTATAGTCGTTTTATTCCAAAAAATTTTAGTGATAGAAATTTAAAAATTTTTAAATCTTCCTTTTGTTAACTTTACATTTGAAGTTAAATTTACATAAGTTAGATATTTGCATGCTTGTTTTTTTTGTTGTTAATCTTTTGTTCATATTTTTTTGTAAAAAAGTGCTGAGAGATTCTTTTTTGCTATTAACTTGAGCTTAATGGCTGCCGTGAGTTCTGTACCAACATGCACAATGAGCATTAATACTATTAATGCATAATTTACAAATTAAATGACTAAAGAGGTGAAAATGGAGACAGCTTTAGAAGAATCAGAAAATGGAACCAACAGCTAACAAGCAGCTCAAAAAAATGGCATACCAAAATTGACAATGACATTGTAACAGGAAAGCATCCTGATTGGTTGTAACAGGAAAGCATTTTGATAAGGTTGGTAAAAGAGCAGTTTTAACTATGGGTGAAGAGGTTATGCTAGTTGCATATCTGTCTATTCCTAAACCATTTATATTATTCAACTCATGACTTATGGATGGATGGCTTATGAATTTGGTAAACGGTTTTGTGGCACTAGTTCATTTTTATTAATCATTAATAAGGAACTTATTAATGCTCATTCAAGCATATTTGACACAAAAGTCAACAAAAGTGTATGGAAATATTTAACTCACGCAAACTTTAAATTACATAATGTTAAAAAACATACTAAAACATAATCAAGTTTTTTAGCTTTCATTTACTTGAAAACTACATTGCAGCAACATCTTCTTAAGATTTGATCTGTAGAAGTCAACTCCATTTGATAAAGTCTTTAATATGTTATAAATGTTATATAGTTTTAAAATTTTAGTTAGTCAATATGCCTGCGTAGCTGAGTGGTTAGCACGCAAAACTTAAATGCAGGAAGTCCAGGTTTGATTCCTACCATTGTTTTTTGTTTTTTTTTAATTTAATCTTTTTCGATTTTTTTAAAATACAAAGTATAAGGCTTTTGACGGAAGAAGTTTGTTTAGAAAGAAAGTTGTTTTGTTTTTCATTTTAAATAACAAAAAAAAAAAAAAAAAAAAAAAGAAAAAAAAAAAAAGCAAGCTGGTAATTTGAACCTGCCACGCGGCAACCTTTACTTTTTTTAAACAGCAAGGTGGTTTAAAAAACGATTTAATTAAGAAAACAATTCAAAATTCTAATTTTATATTTAAAATAAACTATTTTGTTAAATTCAAAAATTTTAAAAATAATAAAAAGTTAAAAATACATAATATAAAGGTAATAAGTAAATTTAAAGTATTACAGCTATTTTACCATGCCCCCGTTAAACAATCTAAACTGAGTAAGCAAAAATGACAGAATTGGTTCACAGTTTTGTTTTATTAAAATAAAAATTAAATGTTTAAACTATCCAGGAATGTATATGCATGTTTAAACTATGTAGGTAAACTTATTATTTTAAAAACTAAAAAATCAAAAATAACATAGTTTAATCTTTTTTAAAATTCAATCTTTTATTCAGATCAAAACTAATGTATTTTTTTGCATATACTGTATTATGAAGATGTTTCCTAAAGATTAAAACCACTAAAAACAATTTAACTCAAAAATCTTTGAATCTAAACAATCCCTCATTAAATTTTAAAACTAAAACTTTAGCCAATACTTTTTTTATAAGCTTAAACTTTTTTAAATTTTTTTAAAAAAAACCCTTAAACTATGTCACATCAAAAATTTTTAATAATTAATATAATATAACACAGGGGCGGCCCTAGGTTTTGCGGGGCCCTAGGCACAGTGCCAGATTAAGGAAGGGGGCTATAGCCCCAGGCCCCCAAAAATTTTGATGGAACTTTTTTTTTAAAGGCATTTTTAGGCTCTGGCCAATAAAAAGGCCTCCAAAAACAAAAATAGCCCCGGGCCCCAAGAAGTCCTAATCCGCCACTGCCTAGGCTGCCAGGACAGTGTGCTTCCTGGCTGCAGCGACCCCATACAGGGCTCTAATTTCACATTTGCTACTTAGTATGTGCGGCCAGAGGTGGTATAGGTGCAGGGCACCTATACCACTTGTTCTCTTTTTTTTTTTTTATAAATAAAACATCAAGAATTGGTATTAAAAAAACAAACATATTTTAGCAACTGTAATTTCAAATTTAAAATTTAATTACAAGTTTATATAATTTTAACTTCAAAGTTTTGTCTACAATAATGTAATATTTTCCATACTTTAAAACGACTACAAGTTAATATAATTTCAACGGCAAAGGTTTTTTACTATGATGAACTATCTTCCATACTTTAAGATAATTAAGTAAACTTTATGGGCTTCTTGTACTTTTTGGTGATCAAAATAAAGCTTATATTTGAATACAGACTTCATCAATTTGTTTCATTAGAATTTGGTAATTTATACATTTTTTAATGTTTAAATTTTTTTTTAATTTGTATTCAGATTTTTTTTACATTTTTATAAAAAAACTTTTGGAACCATTTTAAGATTTAAAATTAAATAAATGTTTTTTTTTGTTTTTTAAGTTTAATTTTTTAATTTAAATTTTTTAAATTATTTCTTATTTTTAATTGATTGATTAAATAATTTTTTAATAAAAATATAATAAATAGTTTTTGAAATACTGACCTCGCGGCACACCCTGGGTGTCTTGCAACAACAACTGCTTCTTGATATCTACGAATCTAAATTAGTTATAAAATTTATTTATACAATAAGTTTTTTTTTAAGCAAATCTGCCCTATTATAATTTATGTTATTACTTGCCTTATTATAATTGATATTATTATTATTATTATTATTATTATTATTATTATTATTATCAGGGGTGAAACCTAATGGCCACCTGGCAGCATGATATGACTGGTTATCTAAAATAATTTTATTATGATTATTATATTTGACATTAAAACACTTTTTCTAAAAAAAAAAAAGAGCAAATATTTGAAAAAAGAACATTAAAGAACATTTTAAATGCTTGAAAATTTTAAAATAATATTTAATACAAAGATGTTTAAATTAGATATTTATTACTAGATTAAGAATTTAATTTTTAAAAAATGCATGCTTAACAACTCTTAAGTAAATCATACAACAAGTAAAATGATTTAAGTTTACAAAAGTCAATAATTCCTTTTTTTATTTATTTAAATCTAATTCATTGTTCTTTGTCCAATTTATAATGCCATGTTGAATTATTGAAATTTGGAAAAAATGACATGAATACTTTTGAGTTTTCAGACATTAAACAAACAAAAGATTTAAAACAATTTTAATATGGTTTATATATATTTAAAAAATATTTAATATAGGTATTTAATGTAAGTAACATAATTATATTAATACTATAAAAAAGTAAAGCAAAAAATTTATTTATTTTTAGCAATTAAATCTTTAGACTTCTAAAATCAACTAATAAGAATAAACAAATAAAAATAATTTAAGTAATAATAACTACCCAATAAAAACATTTAACCAATTAGAACAAACCAATAACACTTATCATTAAGAATAACTGAAAAGATAAAAAAAAAATTAAAAAAAAAAAAATTTAAATTACTTTAAATTACTTTTAATACTAATTTATTTACTTAATATGATAAAGGAGGTAATACTTTCAGTGTGTCATATTGACATTTAAATTTGATTTAACAGCAGTTTCTTTTTAAAAGTGGTATGATCCAATTTCCTGATGGTCAAATTTCATTTCATTCTCTGGTTGTTCAATAAAAAGTTTGAGCTGTCGAGCTGAATTCAATAAAGTTTTGCAAAACTTCATGTTATCACTTATACCACCAGTGTTACATCCTTGTCATCATCAGAGTTATCATCAGATGGTTGAAATAATGCCTGAATGAGATTATTTCAGCCATCTTATCACTTATATCATCAGTGTTACATCCATTTAGAGACTTTTGTTGTCAAATTGATCATCTTTTATTCAAAACATTCTGATTTCATGAGATTAATTCAATTTTTTTTTTCAATGACTTTTTTTTTAATACAGCTGTTCAACAAATTGACTAAAAGATATAACAGCTTTATCAGATTTTTTTCTTGTTAATTCAATTATAATTTCAGAAAACAAAAGATCATCTCCTTTTGAAAAAGCATTAATATCCAATTTTAGTGGTTTATCAAGCTCATTTTTAGGTAGAGGAAAACCAATAAACATACCAATCAGAACTATTATAACTTTTACTGTTTGCACCTCCAAAAAAGGTTCAAGAAAATCAATAGTACTGCTCTATCTTGTCCTTGAATCACAAACTAAAGCTTTTTCTTTTCTAAAGTTTAATTTTTTACCAGTTGTAACAAATTTGAAGTTCAGATTTAGTGTCTTGACCAATTTTTCAATCAAGCTAGTTCAATCAGTGACAAAAGCTATGATTCCTTAGTCCAAATTTAAATAAAATGAATTAAGTATACTACTGATCTATTTGATGACTTTTGTTGCTGGCATTGTACCTTGGATTTTTTACATTCTAATCCTGATTGAAATTCTTCATTGTGTTTCAGGTTTAAGTTCCTATACCTTCTTTTTTTTTTTTACTAAAGTATCACTGATTAAATTACCTTGAAGTTCAATAAATTGACCTGATTAACTCTGACCAGATTAACTTGAAGTTAAATAAATTCTAAAATTAATAGCTGTAATTTGCCTAATAATTTTAGAAAAAGTTTTATAGTCATACTTAAAATTTTTTTCAATTTCCAGTATTTTGGCAACAGAAATGCTTGTTGAAGTCTTGCGTGACATGTTATTGCATTCAAGAATTTCAATTTTGTGTTTTGTTTTTAAATGCTTTGTTATAGCTATTTGCTATTAAGTGATTTAAAATTTTTACTTGTCACAACAAAAATTAAGAGTTAAAAATTAACAAAAACTGTCTAAAAGTCATCATTCAAAAAAGGTTTTAGCTTAACTGTTAAAGAATGAAAATAAAGAACTCATTTTATATACATGTTCAAACTTTTAGATAAAAAAGGTTGTACTTCAACTTTTTTTTTTAAATGGTAAAAATTTGAATATTTAAACCTGAAAATGTTTGTACTAGAAGTGCGACTAGCAACAAATGAATTTTTTTGACTTGACAACAAAAAGTTTGATTGACATTAAAGAAATTACTTCAAAACTTACTCTTTCTTGAATGCATTGAATTAAAAAAGGTGATGCTCGCAGGTTATCAACAGGACAGTCATAAAAACCTTGTACCTCTTTTGAATGTAAATCCAAAGTTAACATATGATCCATACCTAGATATTATAGAAAAGATACAAATATAATTATCTTTTTATAACAACTAATTGTATAATTGTAAAGGCTGTAATCACATTAAAAAACACATAAAAGTTTTATAAACGAGATATAAAAAATAATCTCTTGTCTCATGTAAGAGAGGTCAAATTACATTCTTCTTCTGTAGGCACCCTTTATTTTTAATTTGGAATTATAACAACTACTGTCCCTCCTCTGGAAGTCATTTATCTGTAGTATAGCCTCTCTTTTGTCTAAGATAAATTTCCTTGTGTGTATAAAAAATATAAATTTAAAAACTTACTATTATAGATTTATTAACAAAATACAATGTCAAAAGTTGTTAACAAACAATCAAATAATAGCCATTTTAAAAACTCTTTTGAAATCCAAATAAAATATGCACAATATGCTAACACCTAATTTAACTGTGAATACAAGAGCTCATAAACCTTAGATAACAATCTTACTAATAAAAATAACATTACTAAAACCCATGCTTAGCACACAATTGTGAAATCATTGAAATGAAACTTTTATACAAAAAAAAAAACCCTCTAAAAACCAAGATTAGGATTAGTAATCCAGAGATAATAGAATAAGTATTCTATTCAAGAGATAATGAAACAAATGAGCTTAAGAAATGATGGAATAAGGTTGGCATCTTAATATACTTTTAACAGTTTTGAGTGTCAACCTTAAATTTAAAAAAAAAATGAAAAAAAGAAGAATATTAAAAATAAAAAAAAATTTTGAAATTATTTTTTGTCTTACAAACAAAATTACTGATTGAACCTAAACCTTTAATCAATATATTCAAGACCAGTTATTTTTATTCAAGACCTAGCCAGTTATTTTTAGTTGCTTTAAAGCTTTAATATGTCAACCTTATTCCTATGCCATTTGTATATAAGCATAAAAAATAGTTGTAATATCATTAAAATAAAGAATATCTAAAAGTTACCTGCTCTGCATAGTAACTGAGCAAAAAGTTTTGCAGGAATAGCACCTCTGTTTCGCATCTTACTCTGCTTTGAATAAGGAAGATATGGCACAACAGCTGTTGATAAAATGCAATTTAAAAACTAAAATTATTGACAACAAAAATTGTGTAACTAATGTTATGATTACAGCAAAGTAAACTCAATTCAATAACCAGCTTAAAGTTTGACAGCAAGAGTTACCTATTACTCTTCTGCAGCACGCTGTTTTTAATGCATAACACATCATTAGCAGTTCCATGATACAATCATTAGGTTCTCTAATAAATAACAATTAAAAATAAATAATAACAATATAAAATGTTTATAATGATAAGTATCACAACAAAAATGTGATGTGTTTTTAAGGTTTAATTTACATTTTTTATGCTGAAACTATTTTATTCAAATAAATTTAGTAAAACAAAATTACCCTTGAATTACTTGCATGACATATACATCTTTGTTTCGTACTGATGAAGATATGGTAAGCTTAGTTTCTAAACACATAATATATATATATATATATATATATATATATATATATATATATATATATATATATATATATATATATATATATATATATATATATATATATATATATATATGTATATATATATATATGTATATATTATATATAATATATATTCCGCGAGAAAGAAAGAAAGAAAAAAAAAAAAGAAAAAAAGTTATGAAAACTACAAAACTATTTTTTTTAACTATTTTAAAATACCTTTTAGCAAAAAAAGTTATTACAAAAACCATTTTATCATACCATAGCATGGTTTTAAAGTAAGGGTCATATAAACATGTTTTGACGCTTATTTACAGTCCTGTTGTGTAGTGTTAAAAATCATAACGTATATTCATAATTGAAAACTTTGATGTTTTGTTGCATTTTTTAAGATATATATTAGGGTTGTTAATAATTATTTATACTTTTTTTAAGAGATCAAAGACACCATTTTTTTACCATGCCGTTTGCTGCATTAAGTTGACAAAGTTGCTTCAGAAGTGTAAAAAGTGTATATTATAGTCCTTAGAATTAGAAAAAAGGAGGCAAAAAAACTACTGTTAAAACTGTTTTTAAAACTGTTTTAGGTCGGCATCAGATCAGCACATAATTTTGAAACAAGGTTTGACAAGTCGACAACAATCAGCAAAAACTTACAGAAAAATAAACATTAAGTTTGCAAACTTTTCTTTCAAAGTTCGACTTTTGTATAAAAATTCGAAAAACAAACAAAAGTTTTGCTGATTTTAATCATTTTATTTATTATTAATAAAACCTTCCTTTTTCCATTTTTAATTTTTTAAATAAAATGTTCTGTTTTTATTTTAACTAACTTATTCAGATTTATATAAAACATTTGTTTTGCCTGGTTTTTTCAAAATTATTTTATTAAAAAATTCGTTTTGTTTTGTTTTTAATCTTTTAATTTAGAAAATGTTCATTTTGCCTTTTTTCATTTTACTTTGTTACTTTGCCTTACTTTTTTAAAACTAAGTTTTAAAAATGTAAGGTCAGCAAAAAAAAAAAGCTAAACCCAGACACTGTCAGGTTAGCATCTTATATATATATATATATATATATATATATATATATATATATATATATATATATATATATATATATATATATATATATATATATATATATATATATATATATATATATATATATATATATATATATATATATATATATATATATATATATATATATATATGTATATATATATATATATATGTATATATATATATATATATATATATATATATATATATATATATATAAAATGTATAATAAAAATACAAAATTAATAAATAAATACTATGTAAATATATTAAATACATAAATTATTAAGTTTATTTATTACTTTATTAAATAAAGTAACAAATAAATTATAATGTTTACAAAGTAACAAATCAATTGACAAAAAGCAAAACAATAAACTCATTTTATTTAAATTATCTAAAAAAATTATTCGTAATTACATTTATATAAATACGTATTTTTTTATAAATCTTTTCAAACTTTTTCTAGGACTAATTTTATTAACACTTAAATTTTTAGCGCGAAAACAAATGCTACGGAACAACTCAAACTTGATAGTTTGGAAAAGTACTGGTTTCCATAAGCACTATTACATTAAATTTTTTATAAAATAAATTTAAAAAGGGTTTTAAAAGATAAAATATTTGTTTGAAATTTAAAACCATCAGACAAAAAACAAAAATAAATACTAAACTATAAATATAAATTAATAACTAATTGCAGCATTTTAATATGAATGATAAAAACTGGGTTTTTATACAAAACAAAATTAAAGTTAAAAACTGGGTTATTTAATTTAAAAAATGTAATCCTTTGGCATCTTTTAAATAATGAATTAACTCAAAAAAATGACATATTTTATTTACGTAGCCGTGTCTTTAACTTCAATTTTGTTTTGTATAAAAAATAAAAAGTTTAAAAAATAAAGTTTATATACAATACTGAATTTATTAATAATTTTGGAACAACTAAAATGATTAGAAAATAAATGTACATAAAATGTCGGACAAAATGATTTTTTTTGCAAAAATAATATAATTTTTATCTTGTTTCTTAAACCACAGCTGTAATCCTCCAGCTATTAGCTATAGCTGTAACTCTCCAGCTATTAGCTATAGCTGTAATCCTCCAGCTGAGAGAATATTAATCAAACTTTTATAATATAATGAGAAATGTTTTATAAAATTACATTTCTTGCTGTAAAAATGAAAAGGGAAAGAAAACTTTTTAGACTAAGAAATAATAGCTTTAATGTAAGAACCTGAATACATAGGACTAAATTTTTTTCCTTCTTCTTTTATTCCGATATAGGTTTATAATGCCGCCAGTAAACCAGTTTAATCTTAAACTTGAAAAGAAGTATCCATTGTAGGTATAAATACACCAAAAAGGTGACAGTTATCTTTTCAAGCATGATTAATTCTACCTTATCTAAAAAGATTATTTCTACTTTCTGAAACTTCGATAAGATATGCCTATGCACAAAAACAATTGAATTTGATATGATTTGTAAGCCATGTACCAAAAGTTTGAGTAACGTGGGAGTGACAGGAAATTTTCTATATAATTGAACATAATAGAAGCTGTTGAGAAGCAGTAGTTATTAAATTTGATTGGGTCAATTGGAAATAGATAAGTAATGCACAACAAAAGTATTCTTAATTTTTTTCAATAAGCACCAAATTGATATCTGAAATTTTTGACAAGAGTTTTGAATTTTCGAATGCTTTTTTTACAATGTTTCTTTTATTACTCATACCGCCGCTTGGTCTTGGCATATGTATATAAATGTTAAGTTTGTTTTTTAATCAACTTTGAATTTCAATTATCCTAGCTTTTACTTTGAGTTCATTATTTTTTCTATGCACTTGCCACTTTTCAGGCAAAATCAGCTTGTAATAAATGTGTAACATTGCTTCAAAACAGCATATACACATGCGAAGAATACTTAATCCATATTGTAGAGCTACTGGGTTAACATTGAATACTCCGTGTGAAAAGTTTTCTAGCTTATTCATATCTTTTGGAGAACAAACAGTACATCATTGAAATGAAGATGTCTTTGTGATAACTGCTTGAATCTTTCCATAATTAATATCAAACACAGCTTACATTCAAAAAACAATTTTTTTCCAGACTTCAAGGTAATCACAATTTCTTAGAGTTTAGAAATTTGTTTATTGTATTTTTTTTTTATTGTATATTGTTTTTTCTTTAATTTAAAGACACATTCTTTACTTTCTTTTGAAAACTTGATTCTGTGTGAATGATAAAATCTAGTAGGTTGAGGAGTTTGATTAGTCTTTAAAATTTTTCCATAACTTGTTTGCAATTTTAAAGAAATCATAGACATCACAAATAATCACTAAATTTTTTATTTAGATCTTTATTGAATCTTGTTTGTTGCGTGCTACCGTCATAGCCAAAAGAAACTATAACATGCATTGAACAACATCAATAAGTTGTGTGACATCTTACTCAATAAGTTTTTGCTCAAGACAGTTAAACATCAATTGGTTCCCTATTATTTTGAAAAAAAAAGTTCCTTAAAAGCATTTTATATTGGGTCTCAAAAGAAGTGAAATTTTATAAAACATCTAAAAACAATAATCATTTTATATAAAGATTACTAGTTTAAAATTTAACTATCATTTTTTAACAAAAAATAAAAAAAGTACATATTTTCATAGTTTTTTTAAATAAACTTTTTAAATTTGTGTTTCCATAAATTTTCTTTTTTTATTATTTTTAGAATTTTTATAAAATTTTACTTCTTTTGAGATCGAACACAATATGCATTTAAAGAACTTTTTTTTTCAAAAATTTAAGGGACTTTCTGATTTTTAAGGGTTTTGAGCGACCCCTAAAATTTTTTTTCAATTTTGTATTATTTTATTATAGAACACCATTAGGGTGTACCATCAAACATTTTCAAAAAATGTTGTGGGATGCCAGTGGGTTGCCAAATTATTAAGGACACTTTACTTTTTAGCTAATTTCAAAGTTTAAATAATTTTTGCGAGCAAATAAGTTGTTTTTTAATATTTTTTAATGGTAATGAAGAGTATATGTTCATATGACTCAGCACCATGCCATAAAGCTAGTAGTGTTAGAGCATTCCTAACTGAAAAAAAAAGTGCGTGCTTTGCCATGGCTAGGTAATTCAAATGATATGAACCCCATAGAAAATCTATGGGAGTTCACAAAACTGGAAATTGTTAAAGAAATCATCACTATCAAGCAGCAATTGATAGAAACTCTTATAAAAGAGTGGCATAGCAACCCCAGCCTCCAACACAATGCAAAAGTCTGCATAGAAAGTATATATATAACCTTGGAATTAACTAACTTCTCACTTTTAGGTGAGAAGTTAGTTAATTCCAAGGTTATATATATATATATATATATATATATATATATATATATAACCTCCAAGGTGTATATATATATATGTATATATATATATATATATATATATATATATATATATATATATATATATATATTTATATATATATATATATATATATTTATATATATATATATATATATATATATATATATATATATATATATATATATATATATATATATACATATATATATATACACCTTGGAGGTTATATATATATATATATATATATATATATAACCTTGGAATTAACTAACTTCTCACCTAAAAGTGTTTGAGGTCGGCAAAAAAGTGCCAACCTTGTTTATATGTTTTATGGTAACCTTTTTGTGCCAATTTTTATTTGCCAATTTTTTTTTGCCAACCTCCAACAGTTTGAGGTCGGCAATACCGACCTCATTTTTCCTAATTCTGAGGGTTGATATATATATATATTATATATATATCAACCCTCGGAATAAGGGTCAACATTTGAATGCCAACCCAACTGCCAACCTTAAAGTGTTTGAGGTCAGCAAAAATTAGCCGACCTTATTTTTATGTTTTATGGTAAGACCTATGTACCAATTTTTTTGCCGACCTTTAAAAGATTGAGGTCAGCAAACTATTACCGACCTCATTTTTCCTAATTCCGAGGGTTGATATATATATATTTTTTTTCTGATGAGTCTTTATTGATGAAAAAGCGCATTTAGATCAACTGGACCGATGAGAGACAGTTAAAAAAAGAAAAATAGCTTTTAACGCTAAAATACTTTAAGCAAAATAAATTTATTAAAGCAATTATTTTTGAAACGTTGCTCTTTTATAACTTTTTTTATAAAATTAAGCAACATTTTTTATATGAAGTAACAACTATAAAGAAACAAATGTTCTTCGATTTATCAAAGAGTATATATAATTTTTATTTATATACGTATGTTTTATTTCCAGTGCTGGATTGAGGAGGTGAGGTGGGGGTAGTAGGGCTATAGCCCCGGGACTCACAGTGTTAGGGGAAATAGTCAAGTGGACCATTCGGTATTTTTTTTAGTCATTTTTACGCTGTGGCACATAAAAAGGCCGCTAAAATAATGCAGCCCCCGCCCCTGTAAAGTCCAACAAGATTCAACCAGATGATTTATTTATAAATAAAAACAATTTTTCAATAACTGTTTTATGCTTCGCATAGTTTAAAAAATTCAACACATTTGAAACAATTCTTCTTAGTAAAATAAACAAATGAAATAATTATATCATTGAGTTACTGTAGAAATTCAATTAGCTAGATAGAAATTAACAAAAAACGTTAAATTAATTTGTGAGGAGGAAGCGGAACTGCTTCAAATACCGCTGGTGATGTTTAGTAAGTGTGCTTTATAATTTTAATTAGTATTTAAAACAGAAAAAAGTAAAATTAAGTTTAAGTATAACGAGTTTGTAAGAATGGCTGAAGCAAAAATAATTGAAGTTAGTAAACTAATTTCTAAGAACTTAAAATTTTTCTTTCCTGGGGAAAAAAATCAGTTATCGGATACACTGAGGAAAATGGATTAGTGGTTAAAATTATTTGTATTAACTTTGATGATTATTAATAATTTCATTAAAAATGCAGTTATTATTGAAAGTATTTTTGTTTACAAAATCAATCGCACAAATTGCTTTAAAAGATTACGTATGAATAAAATTCACATACATAAAATTAAATGCACAAAAAACACATTCATAAAAACATTACATAAAAAATACATTACATACATAAATAATACATCCATTATATAAAAATAAGAATATACTAATAAAACCTATAATATATTTACAAAACGTTGACAAGTTAAAAAAGATGAATTTAAAACATTTATTTTTGTAAACAAATAATGTTAGTTTAAAACATTTATAGCTTTGTAGATGTGGCAACAAGAATTAAAATAATAGTTCGTTTGATAGTATATTCTTAAAACAATTTATGCTAGAAATCTCAACAAAAATATAACAAAACATAATTAATACAATTTTTAAAAATATTTCAACAGAATACTCTAGAAATTTCGGTTAGTATTTTTTGAACTAATAGCATTAGTTGTTCATAGATTTGGCAGGTTTTTGTGTTCGCAAATGTTCTTTTTTTATTTTCCGCACAAAGATGTTTGAGAACATTTGAGTTTATGTATGTTTCCATGTATGTCCGTAAAACAAAATTTACGATAAAATAATGAATTTAATTTAGAAAACCAACTTAAATTGAAATGTTCTCAAAACGACTAAAAAATCTGGCCAGTTTTTCGCAATTAAATATTATTTCTGTAATCAGTTATCAAGTGCGATCGCACCCGCTTCCTGACCAAACCTGATATATATATATATGTATATGTATATGTATATATATATATATATATATATATATATATATATATATATATATATATATATATATATATATATATAAAATAAAGCAAAAAAAAATGGGACATGACATAAGGGAAAATAAAAAACCAAAGCAGGCTTTAATGTATAATTAGAATGATTGGAAACAGCTTTCCGATTAGCAGGCTCTGATTTCCAGTAGTTTTATCTTCATGTGGCAATAAATAAAACACAAACGTCAATAAATGTTAGTTGTTGCAGAGAAAACACAATATATCAGTCAATTAAAAAACAAATAAAATGGGCTGCATGTAAAGTATGTTATGTTATAAGGTGATATAAAACATAGATAACATATAATATAAAATAACATAAATTTAAAAATTATTTAAAAAAAAAATACCTTGATTTGAAAAAAAGCCACAGTCCATTACTCCAAGTGAAATATTCAACCTCCTAAAAAAAAAGTTACTGTGTATTTGTGTTCTGTGTACACAGATTAATAAAATTACTTGTTTGTCTTTGTATATATGTAAACCGTGAGAGTGTATTCTACAAAAGAATGTTCTTAAAAACAGAGTAATAATTAGTAAAAACAACAACAACAACAACAAAAAACATCTAAACCCTTATGGCAGCTTTAAAAATATTAGGAAACTTTCCTAATAGTCATAGAGAAACTGAGAGTTTAAGATAAAAAAAAATTAGATAAGTATTTTTTTAATAATTTAAAAAAAGCACTTATCTAATTGAGACATTAGCATTATTGAAGACATTTTAGTTCTTTTAGAAAGCATTGTTTTTTTGTAAAAAAAAAAAAAAAAATGTAGCCATAAGCAAATTGTATACAAAGTGAAAAGTAGTGCTGATCAAGGTCAGGCTTAGGCTTAGCGCAAAGTTTATATATGATTATATACTACTGTAATTCATTGTATTGGTAAATAGATGGCAAAAAGAAAAGAAATGTAATATAAAATACTTAACTAAAAATAACAAAAATAATTATAAAAAATATATTTTTATAACAAAACATTAAATTTAAATGTGTATAAATAAAAACAGACATAAAATAAAAATATTAAAAGTTATATTTTGAAAAAAAAAATAGTTTACAGGTATAAAATATGTCCCCATAAACGCAGACTAAGAAAATATGTATGTATGTATATATGTATGTATGTATGTATGTATGTATATATATATATATATATATATATATATATATATATATATATATATATATATATATATATATATATATATATATATATATATATATATATATATATATATATATATATATATATATATATATATTTAAACATCTTCACTTCCAACAAGGCTGCAAGCAACCACTAATTAGTGTTGGAAGTTACTGGAAGAGAAAAGATGAAGATTGTAGAGCAAGATAACTATTGACAGACGACTTAAAAGATTGCAAATTATATAAATCAGGAAAGCAAGATAAAGGAAACAAATTCCAAAGCACTGATGTTCGAGGGAAAAAACTAGACGAATTAGAGTTTTAGGAGCACTTAGGAACAGTAACAGAAAAAGGATGACACTTAATTGAATGACAAGTAACACAAGAATGAATTTCAGTAGATGGCACAAGAGACGCTAGCTCTTTAGAGCAGTGCCCATTATAGTATTTGTAGAAAAGAATAAGAGAAGCAACATTAGGACAATGTGACAAAGGTTGTAGGTTGGCTGCAAGAGCAGGTCCAACTATGTTTACAATGCACTTTTGCACCTTGTCTAAAAGAGAAAGGGCATCATTAGAAGATCCGCCCCAGATATGGCAACAGTATTCCATACAAGGATGGATTTGAGATTTATAGAGATAGAGAATAGAATTTAGAGTTAGAAAGTGTCGAGCTCGATAAAGAGATGCAATTTTAGCAGATGCTAATTTTGCAACGGATTTTGCAACGGATGCTAATTTTGCAACGGATCCTAGAAGATGAAGAGAAGATGACTCATCGAATACATTAAAGTTCATAAATATAGGAAGGTGTATATATATATATATATATATATATATATATATATATATATATAGATACCTTCATATTATATATATATATATATATATATATATATATATATATATATATATATATATATATATATATATATATATATATATATATATATATATATATATATATATATATATATATATATATATATAATATATATTTTACATAATCGATCTTTTACACAAACAAAAAAATCAATGATGTCGTATACTAAAACTAGAATAAAATACGCTTGAATAAATTATCAAGTCTGTAGATTGCAGCATATATTATGCTGACCTTTTGGCCTACAACAAAATAAAGAAGGTGAGCTTCTACTAAAATAAAAAGTTAGTTTTTCTTTGATGTGCATTTATCCTTTTGTTTTAATCAAAAAATTTAACCTAAACATTTTTTTTAATCATTTTCTATAATATGAACACAACATGACTCGGAGGTTTGGGATCTCTTTAAAGATTGTAATAATGTTTTTTCATTTTTTTTTTTTATAAAACCAATCATCATAACAAAACAAACAAAGAAAAAAATTTAAATATCAAAAGTGGTGCTAATATAAAATAAAATTTTATATTAGCGCCACTTTTTACATGTACTATTTTTTAGCTATTTATTATTTTAATTTATTATTATTATTTTTTGTTTTGTTTTTTAATTTTTTTAAAAAAATTAGGTAATTATTTTTGTTATTATTTGTAATGACAAATTGTCTAATTAAATATTCTTGCTATTGCAAAATGATAAATAAAAGCTTTTTTAATGTTTTATTTTTTATTTAATTCCTTTTAGGACGGTGAATAGCACCATTTTTTTTTTTTTTTTTGCTGACCATTTTTGATGTAATAAATTTTTCTTTGCTTTTTCTTAACTTATTACATTAAATTTAATATTCACAAATACTATTTAAAATTTTTTTAAATAGTGCGAATATTAAATTTAATTTTTTTGAAAACTTTTTTACATAATCATCATTCAAACTTCGTAAGTGATTTTTACAGTTCTTTACTTCTTTTATTTTACCACTTAAACCATATATCTTTAGACTGGTTGAAATATTAAAAAATGATAAAAAGTGGCTCACACAAAATGGCTTTCCGCTTACATTAAATGGTTTAGCGCTATTATTAAGTAAATGGTGTGCCAATTTAAGCTTTAAAACAAAGCCTGTACATATATAAATTATTAAAAAATACTTATCTAACTTTTTTTTTGTCTTAAACTTGGAGTTTCTTTTTCTCTACAATTATTAGTTAGTTTTCCTAATATTTTTAAAGCTGCCAAATGGAGACAATTTAGATGTTGTTTTTTTTTAGCGCTTTTTGTTGCTTATTTAAAAAAATAATAATCAAAAAAGTTAACTCAAGAATATGAATTGGAATTAAGTAAAGAAAGCAAAACTTGTACCAAAACTTTTCTCATATATAAATAGAAAACAAAACATTAAATCCCAAATTTGTGCAATCAAGAAAAAAAAAAGAACAAATTAAAACTGAAATATCAGACACTTAAACATAATAAATAAGCAAATTAAGCCAGTTTTAGTTAAGAGTAATGACAAAGAATTCTTGCAAAGATGTGAAAACCAGTGTGACCACAGCAAATTGTCTAATACGATCATTAATAAAAAAACACTAAAAATGTTAGAAAGTATATACAAAAAGCAATGGGTTTTGATGAAATTAGTCCATTTGTTTTAAAACATGTTCCAGAAGCTTTTGTTGATCCAATTATCTATATTTTCAAACTGAGTTTTGACACTGGATTTGTCTCATACCATTGGTCTATTGCAAATATATAATCAATTTACAAAAGGGGATCAAATCTTGAACCAGGAAACTATAGTATCCTTGTGTCTGTGATTCGTAAAAATGTTTGAAAAGTTTATTAGGGAGGTAATTCTGGACCATTTAGTTTCAAATAATCTTATTTCTGAGGAACAAACTGGTTTTGTTTTGAACTAATCATGCACAACAAATCTGATTGAGACAATCGACACCATTACATACAAAACTGCATAGAGCAAACCATTTTGTGAAATATATTTTGACTTTGCAAAAGCTTTTGACAAAGTAGAACACAAAAGGTTATTAAAAAAGATTAAAGGATATGGCATAATCAATAGAATATTTAACTGGATCGAAAGTTTCCTTACAATTAGGAAACAAAGAGTAACTAATAATAATAATACATTTTTCAAATGGATATCGGTTATCAGTGGCATTCCTCAGGGTTCTGTTTTGGGTCCCATTTTATTTATGCTATTTATAAACAACTTGCCAGAAGTTGTGCTGAACACATCAAAAATGTATGCTGACAATAGCAAAATAATAGCCATAGAAGATTCTATTGATAAACAAGCAGAAATACAAACCAATCTTGACAACATTGTGAAATAGTGCAACAGCAGAAATCTGGAGCTTACTTGTAAAAAATGTAAGGTGATGAGATTTGGCATTCAAAATGTTCTTCAAGGAAATGCTTAAACATACACAATGAATGTGAAGGGAATTGTGTATGTGACCTCTCAAATATTGTATTAGGGAGAGATCTAGGTATTTTTGCACAACCAGATATGAGGTGGAAATATCAAACACAAGTACGTGTTAAGAAAGCTTCAAAAGTATTGGGTTTATTAAAAATATTGAAGGTAGAGATATGCATTTGAAAGTAGAGATATGTAATATGTGGAAAAGTTTTTAAACTACTTATGTGCGATTTTGAATTTGTTATTCCAGCATGGAGTCCACCAAATTTAGCAGAAATTTCAATGTTTAAAAGAGTTTAAAAGAGTTTTAAAATGTTTAAAAGAGCACACAAAGACCATACTCAAATCAAATATTTAGTTATTTAGCAGCTAGTTAAAATGGGTTTAATGACTTTAAACCTTATAAGAAAACAAGGATACTTGATTCATTTTATACAAGATATTGAACTGTTTAGAATTTTTCAATCCTAATGTCAAACCAGTATTTAAGTCAAGTATTGAATTAAATGGACCATTTCTATAACTAGAGGTCACAAACATAAAACAAGGATGCAGTGTTTCACTCCTTGCAAAATAAATGACTTTGGTGCATCAGTTAGCTAAAGAATCCATTTCCAGCATTTCAAGAATTCAGCAGCTTTAAAAAATATTAGAAAACCTTAATAATCATAGAGAAAAAGTTTGACGCGGAACTCTTAGCAGCCATTAAAGCTGAGGTATTGGCAAGAAAGAGTCTCTTAGCATATTTTTATAAGAAAGTATAGGAAATTTATATATATTAAAGTAAACAAAAAATTGACATAAGCCTAGTTTTTATAAATACACTGTCGCAAAGTCATAAAAACCTTTGAAACAATCATCTTAAAACTGTATATTTGTATTAAAACTAATGATACTAAAACTGATAATAAAAAAGAATAATTTCCTAGAAATTGCAAAACCTTTAATAAAGTGGTTATGATAAACCATAAATACTTTCCAAGGTAAATAACAAAAGAGGTGTCCCAAACAGCATTTTTTAAATATCTGGCCAGATACTGGATAATTGAATATTGTCCAGGTGGATATGGGTTATTTGATATAGCTGGATATTTTCATTACAAAACATAAAATTAGTATTATAAAATAGGTATTTTAATAAGTCAAAAAATTATTAGGGCAAACATTCTAAAATGACAAATTTGTTTACTATTTTAAATAAATGCTCCCCTTCAATCAACGGCAGTTTGTATTTTATGTGAAAAGTAGATAAGCAGGTAATAATTCTGGTCAAAAATTGTTATACACAATTTTATTGCACAATCACAATGAAAAATTTTATTAAAAGTTGTATGAAGAGGGAAAAAAATATATTGAAACTCCTCTTTAAACATCTCTTTAACTTCTTTTGAACATTCAAAAGTTAGCATGCCATTTGTGAAAAAAATGTTTGAAATGAATTATTAAATTTAAATGAAATATGTCTATCGAAGAATGAATTTCACCAAAAAATATAAGATAATAATGATGTAACATCATAAAATATCATTCAAAAAAAATATCAAGTGAATACATAAAAAAAATAACCAACTAAAATTTGGTTAACTATAGTAATACTACAGATGATGAATTTATTGGTTTAATGGCTTATTCAAAACCAAAGTACACTATCTAAAAGGTACCAAGGTATCTAATCCACATTTTTTTTCAGCGAAGGCACTTCCTTAACTGCATGATGATGATGATGATGATGATGAAAATATATATAAATATATATATATATATATCAGCATGTAAAATAATGGCCGGTCAATTTCTATTTTAACCTACCAAAATGAATTCTTGCCGGTCAAAAATAAGATTTGAAAAATAATCAGATTATTATTTGGAAAAAGCATGTATTAAATTATCATATAATCATTAAAATTTTGAAAAAGTCAATTTTTCAAACCTCCTCTAAGAAATAAAATGAAAATCTGCGCGCTTAATTTTAAACTATTAACATTGGCATGTAATTTTAATGTTAGTTATTTGCAAATTTAGAAAAGGAATACTAATTTGTTAATTATCAAATATTAAGCTGTTTTTGTATTTATAAAGTTCAGTCATGAAGAACTATTATGAAGATTAAAATGAAAACAAAGAAAATAATAAAAATGTTGACCATCCAAAAAAAACAGTTGACCATCAATTGCAAGAGTTAGCTGGTCAAAGTGACCGCTTGCCTTCGATTTCTTACTTTACACGCTGATATATATATATATATATATATATATATATATATATATATATATATATATAAAGGTTCAGGTTATGTTATAAATATTAGAATAATGCATACTTTATGTTAGAACAACTTCAGAAACTTAAAAAAGCAGTTTAAATATGTTTACCTGACCATAATGAGCTGCCAAACATTCACATCAAATGATTGTAAAATTCATTGAAAACATGTTATACACTTGGAATTCTTTTTATGAACTTACTTGAGTACCCACTGAGGGATTTACCTTAGAGACAGCTTCCATCTAATGGTGATATTTTAAGATACTATCAATTTATTCTTTGCAAGTCCTTAAGGTTCGATCCTTGAGGAACTCCTGAAGTTTTTACTTAGGTGGCATTGTTCGGTACTACCATTTATTCTTGCCTTGATAAAAAAGTAAACATTCTCTGATTGCTTGGAGGAGGCATTTGAGCTTGAAAAGAATCTCACTTCTGCTACAACATGGGGTTCTCAATGTCTGGTGAACTTTAATTCAGATATGAACGGCAATATACTTGATGAGTCCTTTATCCTCTAGGATTAACTCTAACTTCTGATCTCTCTTTAAAACCATATATTAAATCCATTTCAAAAATAGCTTCTGCCAATATAGATAGCTCAAGTACATTACCATTCATATATATGGAGAGATCTAGATTGTTGCAATAATTGGCAACCTTAGCAACATCTTTTTATGGTGCTCGTCACTTTCTTGGTTTGGATTCTATTCTTTATCTCTATAAATCTTAAATCCGACCTTGTATGGAATACTGTTGTCATATCTAGAGTGGATCTTCAAATGATGTCCTTTCTTTTTTAGACAAGATGCAAAAATGCATTGTAAACATTGTTAGATCTACTCTTGCAGCCAACCTTCAACGATTGTCATATCATCGTAATGTTGCTTTGCTTTCCCTTTTCTATAAATACTATAATAGGCAGTGCTCTAAAGAGCTAGCATCTCTTATGATACCTACTAAAATTCATTGTTACTTGTCATTCAATTCAATCTCATCCTTTAACTGTGACTGTTCTTAAGTGCTCAAAAATTTATCTAGTGCATTTCCTTGAACATCAGTACTTTGGAATTGATTAATATAATTTGCAATCTTTTAAGTCATCTTTTAATTGTTATCTTGCTTTATAAACTTTATCTTACTCATAAGTAACTTTTAACTCTAATAGTGGTTGCTTGCAGCCTTGTTCAAAGTAAAGTTATTGAAAAGAAAATTTGCTATGATCTTGTTATTGGGACATTTTTTTTTTTAATTTCAATTCAATTATAAACTCAATTGTAGTGGCCATAAAGGCTACTACAATCAAGAGGACTACTTTAGTTGGGGTTAAAACTCTCTCAATTCTATAACTCTGAAGCATGAACTTTGACAAAAAAGGTTACAGCGCATATCTTGGTACTACCAGGGAGGTGGGGGTGGAGATCGAACTATTTAATTACATTGATTAAGACAATTAAAATTGATAATAGTACCCAACAGATATTATCTTGGTGTCTAAATTAATTTTTAAATTAGAATATGGTTTGTAGTGATATCTCCATAATGTTTACCTACTAAAAGGAATCATATCTACGTTCAATAAAATCATTTATATTTGGTACAATCGCAACATCAGATACTGCAGCTTTCAGCAATATAAATCTGTCTAAATATTGATGCTAGCTTTTTCTATTAAAACTAATTTCAAAATTTGAAATAGGTGTAAAAGGTGAAATGGGTGTAGAAAAAAAGTGAAATAAATGTAATGGTGTTCACTTTTAGTGCCTGGAATAGGTTTTCCTATATCAAAATATTTTGACTGCATTTTTAGGTAAGGAATCTTCCTTGTATTGGAATCCCTAACTATGAGCTTATTTGTTAAATTTTCAGAGACATGCACCCCTCCTGACTGGAAATGTTATTTATCAAATTATTATCAAAATACCACCCTAAAAGAATATATACTTTTAATATATATTCTTACAAAAGCAAAACCAAAAATATTTACTCAACTATGAAGTTAGTAGTAATAAACACTAATAATACTTTTGCAAGGGTGCATAATAATATTATAAAAACTATTTGAACTTTTATAATAAACTCATAAAATGTTTTTTTTTTGTGTCCTTCTGTAGTCAATTTTAAGTCAATAAAAAAGAATTGTACCTATTAGAAAGCTCTAAATGTTTATATCAAACAATTTTAGCTCTAGACCGGCTCTACAAAATTTAGATTTAAAAAAAACTTTTTTAAAGAAAAAAGTAAAAAATAAAATAGAGTAAAACTGTTAGAACATGGTAAAATAGCTTACGCTGCAACATTCTTTGCTAATGGTAAATCTGTACCCTTTAGAGAGAAAAATACTATGTTAGATTCTCCCATAATGCTGGTTGCTCCTTGTGCCTTTCCAAAGTAGGAGGCCTTGGAGAAGATGGGTTGCCCGTATCGTCTTGCCGTTTTGAAACAGTGATCGCAAATGTATTTCTGCTAGAAATACAATGTGTTCTGATATTCTATTTAAGATAATTTATTGAAATCGTACAATCTTGTTCAGTTTTTCGGCACTTTATAAATTTAGTTGTTACGTTAAGACAAGGGAAATGCACCGATTTTGATTTATTGTACTAAAGTGAGAGATAAATAACGGTGAAAAAATAAATAAATAATAATAAAATTATTTATCGGTGTGACATAACTACATCTGCCGGTACAAAATTATGTTCGGAAATTATTTTTAAAAATGTACTCTTGCATGCTCATTAACAGGAATAGAGGCTGCGAAAAAAAGTATAGGTAGGAATCCGGGGGTCGGTCTTAATAAAAAGGTGGTTGGGAAATTTTACAGAACACCAATAAAACAATTTTACTTTCAAAGGCGCATTTTTTAATAGCTGTTTCTACATAATTGTTTTATAATATTTTAATTTTCTACAAAGTTTTATAATATTTTGTGACGACTCATACGGAACTTGTTGCAGATGATGTGACGAGGGGGGGGGGGGGGGGGGAGGAGGAATGGGTTTAAAATGGTCAAAATATGCGTGACGTAGTTTGTTGGCGACTGCACAACGTGGTTAAGGCGAATTAGTAAAACTTAAATCGTAATTTTATTTTTGACAATCTATAACTTAGATTTTAAAGAAATTAAATAAGTAATTATTTTTCTTTAATGCAACTATTTCTGTTTTAAAAAAAATTCTTAAAGTTTTTTATTTTTTTTTATGATATTAATAAAAAATTTATGAGTTTCCGTTTGTTTAAAAAATTTTAAAAGTCTCGTTTTGAACTTCTTTCGAATTTAGCACAGTTGTAAACTAAATAAAGTTTAAAAACGTCCTTTTTTAACTTTATTCGAAGGAAATCTATTGTCTAAATTTCTTTGCAATAACTAAAATAGTTTCAGACCGAACAAAATTCTCATTTAAAATTAGCATTCAAAAACATGAGATTAAATCGAGGAGAGTAAGTCTTAATATACCTTAGGTGGGTGGGAAAATTCTTTAAAAATTATTAAACATCCCCTCCCTTGTATCAAGCACCGAAGATTAAATATTAGCTGCTCATTGTATATTTTATTAGATAGACATTACGTTGAACCATTGTTAATATCAAGTTCTAGGCGTTGTCTTTGCTTTTTATAATGACCATACGTCGCTATACAAATAGCAGCTCATCGCGCTAACGCAACTAGTTTTGAAGAATGCGTTCTACACAAGTCATAGTCTTCGAATGTGTTTACTTTTAACAATTAAATTAAAAGAGCAACATATTAAATTAATGCGTTTTAAATTATGGGGTTGCCATTATGCCTTTTTTTTCCGTAGGAGAACGCAATTTTAATTTTAATTAATGTTTTTATTGCATAAAAATAAACTCCGTAAATTCAAATTTCGGAGTTTACGAGAAATTCTATATTACTTATATAGAATAGTATATTTTTTTATTTTTCTATATTAAATTCTAATATATATATATATATATATATATATATATATATATATATATATATATATATATATATATATATATATATATATATATATATATATATATATATATATATATATATATATATATGTATATATATATATATATATATATATATATATATATATATATATATATACATATATATATATTGAGCAGCCGTGGCGCAGTGGTAGCGCACTTACCACAGAAATGTAAGATCCCTAGTTCAAACCCCACCTCTGGGCAAGTTTTGCGGCATCGGTTGGGAAGAAAGTGTGAACTTCCTATTAAATGCTCTTCCGCGGTGCTCTGTGATAATAATATATATATATATATATATATATATATATATATATATATATATATATATATATATATATATATATATATATATATATATATATATATATATATATATATATATCCAAATCTCAGTTTTGTCTGTTTTTTCTAAAATTTTAGAGAGAATTTTATATAATGTAATTTTTAATCATTTATCTTCGAATAATATACTGTATCAAAATCAATACGGATTTAAAAAAAGTAGTTCAACCGAACACGCTATACTCCAAACTACCCGCAATATTGCTGAATCTTGTGAAAAATCTCAATATACGTTAGGTGTTTTCATAGATTTATCAAAAGCTTTTGATACCATTGACCTTAAAATCCTATTTAAAAAAATAAAGTGTTATGGAATTAGAGGAAATATTTTAATGATATTTAAAAGTTATTTGAGCAACCGTAAACAGTTTATTTTCAGTAATACAACTGTCTCTTCCAATTTTAAAATTCTAAAGTTCACCAGTGGCTAGTGAACTTTAATTCAGATAAAACTCTATTTTTTCCAGCCAATAGTTATCGCAATAATTTAGACCTTCCTATATTTATTAACGGTAATCTACTCGATGAGTCATTTACATTCATCTTCTGGGATTGACTCTGATTTTTCTGGAAAACCGTATATCAAATCCGTTGCAAAATTAGCATCTGCTAAAATTGCATCTCTTTATCGAGCTCGACACTTTCTTACTCTGGATTCTATTCTCTATCTCTATAAATCTCAAATCCGGCCTTGTATGGAATACTGTTGCCATATCTGGGGCGGATCATCTTTTCTCTTCAAGTAACTTCCAACACTAATTAGTGGTTGCTTGCAGCTTTGTTGGAAGCGAATATGTTTAAAAAATAATAATTTATTAGATATAACATGTGGGGTCCCTCAAGATTCTATACTAGGACATCTTCTTGTTTTAATTTACATTAATGATCTTCCAAAAGCCTCAAATTTAATGACGGTCATGTTTGCCGATGATACAAATTTTTTTTTATCTCATAACAACATAGCAACATTATTTCAAAATATGAACATTGAATTAACAAAAGTTTCTGACTGGTTTAAAATTAATAAACTGACAAGAAAAAAAGAAGCTGTTGAGAAAACTAAATGAATACTTTTTCATTAAACTTCAAAAAAAAGTAATGCCTCCTGTCATGCCCTAACTTTTTATTGACAAAATTCAAATAAAAAGATAACTAACTACTAACTTTTTAGGAATCAATATTGATGAAAACCTTAGTTGGAAGTATCACATTGCATTGTTGTGCAATAAAGTTGCTCGAAATATAGGAGTAATGTACAAAGCCAGAAATGCTTTAAATAAACATAGTTTAACACAATTATATTTCTATTTAATCAATTGCCATTTAAATTATGCAAATATTACTTCGGCTAATATCAATAAATCTAAACTGCTACCTTTTTATCGTCAGCAGAAGCATTTTGCTCATCTTATCAAATATAAAGATCGATTTGCTCATGCCGAATAATTATTATTTCAAATGAAAATTCCTAATATTCATCAGCTGAATATTTTTAATATACATTGTTTTATATTCAAATGTAAAACCAACGAATCTCCAGTTTCTTTTCATAATCTATATACCTTAAAAGATAAAAATATATATAAATTAAGAAATGATAATCTAATTCGGCAACCTTTATTTTTAACTAATTTTGGAAAGTCATGTATTTCATATTGAGGAGCTTTTCTTTGAAACAAAATAGTTTTAAAAAATTTTGATTTTTCTCATGAATGGAATTATATTTCATTCAAGAAAAAACTAAAAGAAATTGTTTTACATATTTTTATATTTTTAAGTTCTTCTGAAAATGAATATGAAGTTTACTACATAAAGTAATATATAAATATTATATCTGATCCACAACTTATGCGTTTATGAAAACAGTACTTTTTAAAATATTTTTGTATTTATATACAAAAATATCAAAAACTTCTTTATTCCAATTTTATTTATATATTCTTACGAAATTTAGGTTCTTGCCAATTATTACTAATTATTACTACGACATTGTTTTGTTTTTTGATTTTATATTTCATGTTAATTTAATGCACTTAATTTTCACGAGCTATTCACTTAATATTCACGATGATAAGACCTGAATGTCTTCTGCGAGTCTCCGCGTTTTTTATTTGTTTTTGCTTTTATTTTTATACCTGTATATTTTGTAATATTTCTTTTATTGTATAACCATTTTTATCGTAACTATCTTGTTGTATAAATTTATTGTATATATAAAGAAAACACCAAATGTATATATATATATATATATATATATATATATATATATATATATATATATATATATATATATATATATATATATATATATATATATATATATATATATATATATATATATATATATATATATATATATATGTATATATATATGTATATATATATATATAGAAGAGAGTTGGGTAACCTTGGACACTTCAGGCAAATATAGATTATACACATGTGCTAACATAAAAAAAAGTGTAAAAAGACTTTTTTTAAAAGTTCAAACATTCATCTATTGAATTAGAAACAAAAAAATTATTATTTTGTATCTTAATAATTTAATAATATACAAAACATAAAAGAAAAAATGTTAGAAAAACGGCATGTTTCAAAATTGGAGGGTAGCCCCGAACACATAATTTAAACATGATTTTACCTCTTTTTTACCAGTGTGACACAAATGTAAAATATAATAATTTAGTAAAGGACTCTTCTCGACACATTTTTAAAAAAATCGCCTTAAAAAATTGCCACTGATATATAAGGAATGATAATGAAAATGTCATTATTTAAAAATATAAACATAGGCTTTTTTATAATGAAAATAAACCCTTTAAAAACACTTTTTTCAAATCTAATGTTTTTTTATTGGAATTAAATGAGTTACTATTATAGGTTTGTGCATTATATAAAATGTATTAATATTTATATAAAAAAAGTTGTTTTTTATTATTATGTAAACGAATTAAGTTGTCCAGAGCCACCCTCCAATCATGTGTCCGATACCACCCGATCATACCTCATTCACAAATACTAGTTTTAAAACCAGTGAATTATAGTTTTAAACAAACTTTTTTTTTAAATAACTATTGTAAATAAAAATGCATCTTTAATCGTTAGAAAGTTATTAGTTTACATAACAATTAGGTATAATAATATGTGAATCAAATATGATTATACGTCGCTCTTCTGGTGGTGGGAAACAAAATCTTGCCCTCCCATTCATTCGCTTCGGCATATTATGATTATATGTGATTATATTTTGCTCATGCCATATTTTCACTCAAATAATGTTATTGTAGTATTAAAAGTCATATAGCTTCTTTAGTTTAAACTGTACATCAAGTGTCCGGAATTACCCGCCGTCCGGGGCTACCGGACGGCGGGTAACTCCGGACACTTATATATATATATATATATATATATATATATATATATATATATATATATATATATATATATATATATATATATATATATATATATATATATATATATATATATATATATGTTTATATGTTTTCTTTTTTGGTCCTTGAGTGGCATTCCTATAAATCAAATTAATAAGTATTGCGCAAAATCAAAAAAAGATTTATTCCTAAATTATATTACATCAATGCCAACATAGCATTTTGCTGTTTTTTAGATGTCATTTGATCAAACTTGTCTATCCAGCAAACTAACAACTTCAAAACATTTTAAATAAATGTAGTTACAAGACTCGCCTATTTTATGACTAGAAAGCTTAATTTTTTTCTTAATATCTCTTTTTTTTCAATTTACAATTTTTTCAATATTCTTTAATCCCTAAAATGAACCCTTAATTTTTATTTTTTTGCTGTAACTTTAATACTGAAAGTTGCTGGTGATTTGTGCAACATGTGATAAAACAGACAAAACTGAGATTGGGAGATAATTTATATATATATATATATATATATATATATATATATATATATATATATATATATATATATATATATATATATATATATATATATATTTTTTTTTTTTTATTATTATTATTATAGTTGTAGCCGTAAATTTACATAGAATGTACACATACAGCGAGCAGGGGAAACACCCCACTATAAACAACCAGTTTTATAAATATTTGTTCCAAACTTTTTCCACAACCAGGAGTCTAGTCTATTTTTGAAAGAAAGTACAGTGGAGTACAAAGTTATTTGCTCTGGTAGATTGTTCCAGTATTTTGCTGATCTATTATACAAATGATTATATCTTGGAAGACAGTTTAGAACATACTCACGCCTTATTTTAGAATGGTGACCACGAGACACGGAGTTAATATATTTTGGTAGATATTTATCATTAACTATACCAAAACGATGTATTAATTTAAAAATTTGGATTAAATCGCATCGAAGGCGTCGAAACTCAAGTGATGGTAGGTTTAATCTTTTTAGCCTTTCGCAGTATTGAAGATGCCTCAAGCTGTAAGCCCATTTTGTAGCTTTGCGTTGAACAGATTCAACCAAAGCCATATCAGCTTTTAAAATATATATATATATAAAAATTATCTCCTAATCTCAGTTTTGTCTGTTTTATCACATGTTGCACAAATCACCAGCAACTTTCAGTATTAAAGTTACAGCAAAAAAATAAAAATTAAGGGTTCATTTTAGGGATTAAAGAATATTGAAAAATTGTAAATTGAAAAAAAAGAGATATTAAGAAAAAAATTAAGCTTTCTAGTCATAAAATAGGCGAGTCTTGTAACTACATTTGTTTAAAATGTTTTGAAGTTGTTAGTTTGCTGGATAGACAAGTTTGATCAAATGACATCTAAAAAACAGCAAAATGCTATGTTGGCATTGATGTAATATAATTTAGGAATAAATCTTTTTTTGATTTTGCGCAATACTTATTAATTTGATTTATAGGAATGCCACTCAAGGACCAAAAAAGAAAACATATAAACACTCCTCATAGTTTTACTAAAGACAAAATTGATAACACCATAAATCATATTCGATCTTTTAGAGGACAAAAGTTTCATTACTCTTTCAAAGATTCTATGATACTCTTCCTTTTAGAAGATTCTATGATACTCTTCCTTTTAGAAGATTCTATGATACTCTTCCTTTTAGAAGATTTTATGATACTCTTCCTTTTAGAAGGTTCTATGATACTCTTCCTTTTAGAAGATTCTATGATACTCTTCCTTTTAGAAGATTCTATGATACTCTTCCTTTTAGAAGATTCTATGATACTCTTCCTTTTAGAAGATTCTATGATACTCTTCCTTTTAGAAGATTCTATGATACTCTTCCTTTTAGAAGATCTAAATCTTTGTAAGATGTATGTAATGTACTTAGAAAGTCACCCAGACAAATCCTGTTCCAGAGAAAGTTTTAGGTAAACTTGTTTGTTTTGTTTCACTTTTAGAAAATATGTAAATAATCAATTTAGCAAATACAACTTTTTTACTATTTCATTATTACATCTTTTATATTTAAAAATAAAAAAAATTATTCTAGGTTAATTTTTTGTTAGATTTATTTAACAAAACAATTATTTGTTATTATTAAGTTTTATAATGTCATTTCCTTTTTTTAACCAGACGGATCTTTAATGAAGAATTCAACATTGTCTTTCACTACACAAAAAAAAAGGCACATGTTTAACATGCGATTGATTTAAAATATTGTTGCCAGAAAGTTACTCTTAGCATAAACTACAAAAACTTTCAGCTAAACGAGAGAAGACAAATTTTTTATGAAAGGAAGACTTTTGAACACGGAGCACACTGTTTGACCTGGGTTTCTGCAGTTGCCTATGATTTTTGGAAGAGCCTTTTTTGTCCTGATATTACAACCAATGATACATATTACAGTCGAAAACTTTGTACACTTTAAATATACATAACCTGGGAATTAATGAGGTTTTCCTATTTTCATCTAATGGGACAGTTAGAAAAAAAAGGTTATAATGATTTAGTATTTTATTTTTATTGAAATATTGCATTAATTAAAAAAGCCCTAAAAAAATTTGCCTTTTAGGGCTATGTTTTTTAACTCAAAACTGTTAAATTTTTGTTAACACGTTGTTTGACATTATTAGAATCGCCTAAAATAAACTGTATCTCAAAAGGTTTTGATCTTAAAAGAAATTCATATTTATAATATAATTTACTGATAATTATACTTAGTGAACATTAGTTATGAAAAACTTAGGGCATAAATTGATTGTGTTCAAGTCATACGCTTTACATATAGTTTTTTATATAATAATCGCCTTACATATAGTCCCCTCATATTGTCTTTGCTTCACATATAGTCCCTTTATATAGTCATTGCCTTAGTCCCCTTATATAGTCGTACAAAACCTTCGCTATAGATAACTATTTTTTACAAGCTTCTAGCATTAAATCTAAATAATTTACTGTAATTTACCGTTTTGATCGGCAAATAACTAGTGATATTCAACAATAGTACTCCATACTGGGAAATAGGATTAAATAACGCACCTATTTATAAGTGGTCAAGAGTTTAAAATAAATCTTGTAGTATAAAAAGATATTTTAAATCTCACAAAACGTGGACTTAAATCTCACGTAAAAATCTCACAAAACGTGGACTAAAATCTCACAAGAATTGACAATAAAAAAACAACTTATATACATTTATTTGGTAAATTTTGTTGTACAAAAATATATACAGCTTGAATAAATTACAAAACAACTCAAAACCTTTTTAGAAAATTATTCACTTCTATATATATAGCCTTACTGGCATTGTAAAAAAAAAAGGAAAAGCAAAACATTTAATTTACAAATTTAGACAAAAGGTCTTGTTAAATACAAATAGCTTTATTTACAAATGAGGATAAGGGGAGGGTTATAATTAAAAACGGGACGTATAACTAAACAAGTAAACCAAAATCAAATAAAGAATACGCTTGCAATTACTGCTTACACGGAGTTGAAACTGAAAATTTACAAAACTGAGAACTTATGAAAGGTTTATTCTAATATTATTTTTTTTAAAAAAATATAAAAAAATTGGAATCACATTAATAATTTAAGTTTTTGATAAAGCTATGAAGACCCCTTAAGTTCTCGAAGTTCTCGAATTTTTCATCCTTTCAAAATAATGTCATGTTTTTATTCAGAATCAACTCCGTTTAATAGTCATGTATTCTCTAATAAATCTGACTTATTAAAATAAACGTCGTCAAATTTTTTTTTATTCGCATATCTTACACAAACAGAACTACGTGGTTCTTTTTCATCCATTTCAACTTCACTTGGAGTTGTTATTTGAGCATGCGTATGTGATGAGCACGTTTCATTAAATGCAGGAACTCTATTTCGATGCGATGAGGAAGACTTAGACGCTGCGGATTCATTGTAGTCTTTACTTCCTATAGGAGTTCCTGGTAACGATACATCTATATATTTATCATCTTGCTCAAATGCTGCAGGGGGAAATTCAGGAATAATTTCTTAAACATAGGATAAAAAATTTTAAAGATTAAATTAATTTAATATTTATTTTTAAGGAGCAAAAACAAGAATTAAAGAAAGAAACTTTAAACACCTTTTTTCAATGCTTACCTTTTTCAAGAAAGAAATCTTCGGTGTCCTGGTTGCTGGTCATCGATGCGCTTTTGTAGCTTCTCCCACTTGCTCTATTTTTATTTTCAGTGCAAAAACTCCTTGCAGAACGTGATCGTCCAAACGAACGGCGACCTTTAGAGGACAATGAACAACGCTGACGAGCTAATAAAGTACAACATTACACATTTTAAAACTAAGAACAAGTTTAATTGAAAAATAAAAAAAACATAGTAATTAAATTATGGAAAAAGACAAAATAAACACAAAAAATATAAATAAACGTAACAAAAACATATTAGAGTAAATATAACCAAAAAATTAATAGTGAAAACATACAAAAACTGATTTGAGAATTGCAATCTTCTTCGGTCTCAGGATTAAAACCATTCAACGCTTCAATTAAATCTACTTCTTCTAACTGATCATCCTAACATAGTAAAAAATGATGTTAACATGTACATTTTTAACTTAACATAACATTTTCTAATATTAGAAAACGATATATTACTAATTTTATAATTTAATAAATACTAATGAAAAATAAAAATGTAAACTACTGCTCATGTTTAGCTATAGAGCGGTCACTTTTAAGAAGTTTTTTTTGCTATCGGTGCAAAAGAACTAATGATGATATGCAATAAACACCCCAAAAATAACAGCAAAAAAAAAATAACAGGATTAAAACATAATTTTTATTAATAAATTACTAATAAAAAAAGTTAATCTTAGCAAGAGAGCTAAAATTTGACACAAATCTTAAACGCATTTTAATTCTAAAGAAGAATCATATCAATTTAAAATGCGATCAGTTAAAATCCGAACATTTAGATGGCTCTAAATTTGTTACTGCCGTACCATTTTTTTAAAGAATTATGCAAATTAATGCATTTTGCAAAACAAAAACAACAATAATATTAAAAAGCTAAAAACTCAACAATTAATATTAGAGAAGCAGAAAAACATTAAACAAAATGTGCAAAAAAAGCTCCTTGGTCAAACAACCTTGTGTGTAGATCGGAACACGCATTTACTTTGCCAGCACACATTAAAGTGTATTTGCTAACACACATTGAAAAATGACTTCGCTAGAACATGTATTTCGTTCAGATATGACTGCTTTCTTATTTCAACTTAAACCAAAACTTTGATGACAGGTGAACCGGCAAACTCAATGATAGAAAATATAAGCATCAAGAGCAGGTTTGCGTTACTACTAGAAAAAGAAATATTTGATAGTCCATTTGAGATTTCAATTTATTAGTTAAAGAAGTTTAAACATTATATGGTTGGTTAAGGTTTGCTTAACTTAAAAGATATTAATCCAAAAAAAGGACAATTGTAATGGTCAAATGTAAAAATTGTTGATGGTCAAATGTAAAAAAACTTTCTTTGTGTGATATATTATATAATATCTTAATTCCTTTAATAAACTTATATTTCTATATTTTTGTTGCTAAATTACAACTTTTAATCTTTATATTTTATATATAAACATTAGGGCATATTATACATAATTATAAGGGTGCATTTACTCACATCAAAATAAAGAAAAGAAAAAAAAAAAAGATAATTTCCAGCTCTCTTCATAACTAAAAAATATGATCTGTGGCAAGAAAATTGGTTTATTCAAGGAAGCAACTGCAAAAGTTTAAACCTATTTTGATACTAAAAATAAACTGTATACAAGAACAACATCAAAAATTTATAAAAGAATTGGAATAATTTATAAAAGAATTGGAATAATTTATAAAAGAATTGGAATAATTTATAAAAGAATTGGAATAATTTATAAAAGAATTGGAATAATTTATAAAAGAATTGGAATAATTTATAAAAGAATTGGAATAATTTATAAAAGAATTGGAATAATTTATAAAAGAATTGGAATAATTTATAAAAGAATTGGAATAATTGGAATTTTTTTAAAAGTTATTGTTTTACTACTCAAGGATCAAGATTGTTAAAAAGCCAAACTATAATTTGGATCTAAAAAGTATAGTTCACTGGTTAAATTCTAACTTAATATGTCTTGTCACCAAAACTGAACTAATTTTTTTTTATTTGTAAGAAAAAACTATTTCTTTCAAAATTTTGAAAACAAAATTTATTTATAAATGGGTATATCCTTCCAGAGTTATTAAATATCTTGATGTGTTAATTGACTGCAATCTTTCATGAAACTTTCACATTGATGAACTAAGCAAGAAACTATCTAACAGTGTCAACTAACTTAAAATAAGTCATCATTATGTCAATAAAGTTCCACTTAAGAATATTTACTCTGCATTATTCTCATCTCATCTTAGCTATTGTTGTCAAGTTTGGGGCCAAGTTGGAAACTATCGCATTAACAAGTCTCAGAGTCAATCCATTAGATTAATAAACTTAGTCTCAGAGTCAATCCATTAGATTAATAAACTTCCGACCTATTAAATCAGATACATCGGAGTCCTTCAAAAAACTTTTTATTTCAACATTTTCAGTGCAAGTAAAGTATACTTATCTTTTTTTTGTTTTTGACTCCTTAAATAAAAATTTACCATTTTCCATTACAAATTTCACAGAAAATAGACTAGTACATTCCTACTTACTAGAAATATATAAAATTAAAAATTAAATGTACCATCTTTTAAAATCCAAAAGTATGGTAAACATTCTATATATAACTTGCAAATTATGATTTTTGAATGTTTATTTTTAATGTATGTTCTATGTGCTTTAATCTATGTGTTTACGGTCATTATCGTTAACTTATTATTATAAATAATTTTATGCTTATAATATTTATTTACCATTATAATATTTATTATCATTAATATTATTTAATTATAATTATTGCAAACATGCTTATATACTAATACTATAATTTATATTAATTTTGTTATCTTATGTTATTATCGTATATTATTGTTACTATAATTTACTGTTATTATAGTTATTATTAATATTTTTATTATCATTAATACTATTGTAAAAATGATTTGCAGAAAATAAATAGCTTGTTGTTGTTGTTGTTGTTGTTGTTGTTGTTGCTGTTGTTGTTGTAATCCATAAAAAGGACTCAAATTTTGACTGCAGTAACTATAGATCAATATCATTATTATCAAATTTCAGCAAGGTTCTTGAAAAATTAATGCATTCTTGTATCTTACTTAATATTTCTAAGTCACCAGTTCAAACTTTGTTTAAAACACTTCCCATGCATTTATTGGCTGAAATGATTCGTGGTTTGATTGATAGTAGTTATTTTGCTTGTAGCATCTTTATTGATCTTCAAATTTTTTGACAAAAATCTAGCATGGTACAATCAACTAATTCAATTAAATAAAAAATTCATTAATACAACACTATGTTCCCAAACTTATTCTAATATCAATTTTCTATTCCTTGTTTTCTTCCCATCTAAGCTATTGTTGTACTATGTAGGGCCAAATAAGCAGTTTTCTTTTAAATCATATTAATAGTTTGCAACATACTTCCACAAAAATTATGATATTTTCTTCTTAAAGATTTAATATCCAAAATAGATTTTCTGAATTAAAAATCCTAAAATTTCAAGATCTTGTGAAGCTTTAAAATTATCTCTTTGTGTTTGATTTTCTTCAATATAAACTACCAAATTTGTTTAACAATTTTTTTTATTAAAACATGTGATACACATGAATATTACACAAGAAATACTGAAAATGTTAACTTGAACACTTCCTTTTTTGACACTATCAAACATGGCAAGCTCTCTTTAAAACACCAATATATTTCTTATTGAAACCAATTAATACCATTTATAAAAAAAAAAAGATTTTAACTAAATACCCTCTTATTACCAACATCCTTCTTTTCAATCGATCCCAAAATTAAGAAATTTTTATTTGAGTATATATCTAATAAATATTAATTTTATCTTTTATTATTATTGCTTTATTATATTACCGTATTATTATTATCTTTATTTTATGCTATCTTTTTTTAAATTTATTACTATTATTATTATTATCACCATTAATTTATCTTTGCTTTACATGCCTTATTATTATTATTTATAATAATAGAGATAATGATTCCATTACACTAATAGTTTTATGGTTATTGCTATAATTTTTGAAACTCTTGTCTTTTATGTTATAATTTCTGTCATAGTTATAAAGTTTACTGTAATTATTTTTACTACAGTTTTTATCATTAGTTATAATTTTTATTCCAGTTACCATATTATAGTTATTATTTGTAATGTTTTTTTTATTCATACTATTATTTTTTAAACTGTGTTTTATATATGGAGACTCATCAGAAATCCAAAATTTAACTCAGACTCATAAAAAATTACACATACACACACACACACACACACACGCACGCACACACACATATATATATACAAATATATACACATATATATTATTTATATACATATATATTATATATAAACATATATATTATATATACTCATATATATTATATATATATAATACAGGCTTTCACAGGAAGACGTGCGATTTCACGTCTTTATATGACCACGCAAGTTACATTTTGCTATGACGGTTTGACCGCGGCTTATTCAAAAAACATTTTAGAAACGCGCTAAATAAAAAATATTCTAAAAAAGTGAAATTAATTACATCAAAACTTCTTAACAAATGTTTTTATATTAGCGAAACGATTTTAAATAAAGTAACAAATTTACTGAAAAAAAGTTTTGTTTTTTAAATATAATTGACAGTTGTATATATTTTTTAAATTTAAAACATATAAATTGTTAAAGTGTTTCTAAAATAAATCTTATTAAAAAATAAAAAATTGTTATGATTTTATAAACGATGACATTCTTCGACTACGAAAGTCTCTTTAACGAATTTAAATATAAGAATGATTAAAGTTAATGCATTTAAAAAGATAAACAAAATTTCGTTAAAAAAAAAGTTTTAGAAAACCGTAACAATTTTATAAGTTTGATCTTAAATGCTTTTATATTATCGAAACGCTTTTAATGAAGTAAAAAAAAACACTTATAATTAATTTAAAAAAAAGTATTTATAAAATATTTTTTTATTTTATTTATATAACTATGTATTTTTTATAAGAAATATTCAACTTTTGAACATATTAAACAAATAAAAAAAATATAAAAATGTTGAATCAAAGATTGAAAAGGTTTTTTAATGCGTAAATAAAATAGACTAAGCATTTTAGTTTGATCAGTTTTGTTTGAGATGCGTTATGTATATATATTTATTTTTTTGTGTTTTTGCTTTAACTAAGTATTTTTCTCTTTCGTTAAGATTTATTTATTTTTTAAAATTTTTTTTTCAGATAAGTTTAGGTAAGTTTTTGTAGCGCGTTTTTAAATTTTAAAAATATGCCGTGGTCAAATAGTTAAAACATTTTTTTTTTTGCGTGGTCATATAAAGACATGAAATCACATGTCTTCCTGTGAAAGCCTGTAATATATATATATATATATATATATATATATATATATATATATATATATATATATATATATATATATATATATATATATATATATATATATATATATTATAATATATGTATATATATATATATACATATATATATATACTTATATATATATATATATTATATTTATATATATATCATATTATATATACATATTTAAATATATATATATATATATATATATATATATATATATATATATATATATATATATATATATATATATATATATGTATATAGGATCTTGAAAACAATTCTGTTAAATAGTATTGGGTAAAGTAAACTTACTCCAGCATGTATAGATCCAGGAGGATATTTTTTTTTACGCACAGCTTTGATTTGAAGCAGTGCATTAAAATCTAAAATGTGTTAAAATGCAGCAACAAAAAAGTTTAATTAGTAACAAAAAATAGTAAATAAATGTATTAAACATAACAGCAGTAATAATAAATATATGTGCTATACAGATGATAAGGACACATACTTGCTCGACATATGGGACAACGACTTGAACTAGTGCGCATTTGTTCTCCTGTAAAAAACATTTGTATAATATGTTAAAATACCAACATTTAAATTTTAATTGAAAAAAAAAAAATAGATAGAGGTGAAGAAAGCTAAAAAGTTTGAAAATAAAAAGAAATAAAAAGTTTTATAATCAAAATTTTATAATTAAATTTTATAAATAAAAATATAATAATAATAATAAAAAAAAAAGTCTGAAAATAAAAAGAAATGACTGTTGAGAATCCAAAATAAAATGTCTCACCACAGGTTTCACACAAACAAAGATGTCTACATGGAAGCATAATAGTGTTGCGTAAATTATTCATACATATCACACACTCAATGTTATCGTCAACATCATCCCCATCAAACTATGTTAAAAAAAATCTTTATCAATTATCATCATCATCATTATCATCAATCATAATCATGATGATGATGATAATGATCATCATTATGATCATCACCATCAAGATAATCATCATATGCAACATGATCATGATGATGATCATCAAGCAGTTTTCCATAATAAACCACTTTAATACTGGGATGGTTGTATGCATTTTTTTTTTACTTTAGGTTTATCATGTCTTCATGTCTTCACATAGTGACCAACCATCTGCGTCTTTATACATAATATGGCCACACTCACATTCCTAAACTTGTCTAAAGCACACAACTTGTTTTACTTTTAAGGCAAGAGAACACATCCACCATACCATTTATTTATTTTACATAAAAAATCCAAATGAAAATACTGTAAGAAATACCTCATTTAATTCTCCTGATTTATTTTCAATACCATAAATTTCTTGAGTTATAAAGCAAAATCCATCAACCTAAAAAAAGTTCATTTACTAATGTTTATAAAGCAAAATCCATCAACCTAAAAAAAGTTCATTTACTAATGTTTTGCTTTAAATGCATTTTTAATAAAAAATTTCAAAATTTATTCTAGTTTACTAACTTTTAATTTTTAAAGCATGTTAGAGCAATCAATGCTCAAGACAACACCTGAAAATAATTTTTATAAGCAATATTTTAAAGTTCAGTGTCATTTTATTATACAGAACACATTAAAGGGGCAAGAGCTGCCTTTAGCACAAATATAAATGCAAAATATGTAATACCAAATACACAGTTCAATTTTAAATGATGTATTGTTTTTTTGCTAACCTGTTGTATATTTTTGTCAAAAAGTTTTCTAAATCACCTGTGTAAGTTTTAAAAATGAAAACCAAACATCAACTACAAATTATAGACCAATTTAATACAAATTTATGAAGTAAATCATTGCAGAATGTACAAATTATTTACTAATAAACAAGTTTATCTCTTTTCATCAATACAGTTTTTTAATGCATTAATCTGCTGGCATACAGATTAAACAAATGATTTATTTAAACAAGTGGACCGATGCTGTTAATAGAAAAATGGTATTGATATCATATATATATATATATATATATATATATATATATATATATATATATATATATATATATATATATATATATATATAAATTAAGAAAAAGAATATGATTCTGTTTCTTAATTATTATAAATGCACTATTATTGTATCAAGTATCAATTGCTATTTCATACTTCTAAATGTGTTTGTCTTAGTAACACTTACATTCTTATTAATTGATACTTCTATGATTCTATTAAATCAATACCAAACGTGTAATTAGTGAGTTTTGACATAAAACTCCTGAATCACTTATCAAATTAAATCAAATATTTAGTCATATTTTCTTTCAGAAACTTTTTCATAAAAGCTTACAAAGTTTAGATAAAGGTGATTTATTTACTTTTAATATCCTTCTTCAGAAACAATCCTAACTTTTTCATAAAAGCTTACAAAGTTTAGATAAAGGTGATTTATTTTGTAGCAGTTTTTCATAAAATTAAAACTTTATCATAAAACACTAGTTATATAATTAATTTTCAAATGATTTTTTGTCACTACTGTTTTCATCATTCTAGCAGCATGTAAATTCCAAGGCAATTCACAATTCAATTTTTTTATTTGTGGTATAAAGTGCTTTTAACTGAGCCATCAATCAAAAGAGATTGCAGTCAGACAGATTAATGTCTATGCTATTCAGTGGGTGGGGAAGGATTTCCCAATTGAAAAATTCCAAGCACATTTTTATAAGCTTGTCATGGAGCAAAATAACTTTTTCATATCTTTCAACAGTCATTTTTTCTTTAGTGTATGGCTTAAACACATCTTTTCTCAATATCTTTTGGTTTCAATTGATATGAAACTCATTTTCCATGTTATTAAACCATTACCTAGTCAGGTAAATGCTTGATAATGACTAAGTGAATAAATTCACTCTGCATTTTTTTATTATAACTTTAAGAAATTAATTATAATTTTAAATATAATTTATTATAGTTTCTATACTCAGTAATTAATTTCTTAAACTACATAATGTCAAAAATGTTTCAATGTTTTCAAAAAAAAAATTAAAAAAAAAATTAAAAAAAATTTTTTTTTTTAGTCTTGAAATGAATGAAGAAGTGCGACACCACAAACTTCTATGCTGAAGATAATTGGTGCGTTCAGTTGACTATTTATGTTGTTGCTTTTCAGGTAAGAAAGTTCTTGAAAGTATTTGTTGACGATGCATTTACATTTTTGGACGTTTAAGAATTTCAATATTTACAACATGGTTTGTAAAATAATGGAATTGTTCAACACAGTTTAACACATTCTGCTTTTCCAGGCAAAGGTTGTGGCCACATAGATCAAGCACATCAAGGTCTCCTTCAGCAGTAGTGATTTGTAGTTGATAATGTGTAATATCTTCTTTTTCTATTGCGTAGTTGGGTGTGGAATTGTTTCTTTTATTGCCTACATCACTTTACACTTGTCTGAATAGTAAGAGCCATTTTTTTGACCAGCTTTGTTAATGTTATTTTGCAAGAAATCAGCATCTTCGCTCAATTTGATAACTCTTATAATTTTACAATCATCAGCATATATTTTAATGTGTACAAATACCAATTTGTATATATATACATATATATATATATATATATATATATATATATATATATATATATATATATATATATACATATATATATATATATATATATATATATATATATATATATATATATATATATGTATACATATATATATATATATATATATATATATATATATATATATATATATATATATGTATACATATATATATATATATATATATAATATATATATATATATATATATATATATATATATATCCCCTTAATTTCTGTTTCAGCCCCCCCTAACTTTCTTGACCTTCCTATGCCACTGCATATATATATATATATATATATATATATATATATATATATATATATATATATATATATATATATATATATATATATATATCTATCTATCTATCTATATATATATATCTATATATATATCTATATATATATCTATATCTATATCTATATATATATATATATATATATATATATATATATATATATATATATATATATATATATATATATATATATATATATATATATATATATATATATATATAAATATATATATATATATATATATATATATATATATACATATATATATATATATATATATATACATATATATATATATATATATATATATATATATATATATATATATATATATATATATATATATATATATATGCACATATATATATAGGCACATATATATATATATATATGCACATATATATACATACATATATACATGATACTGATCAGCAGAAATGATAAAAATTGAAAAGTATAACATCAAATAATTTTCCAGACAATCAAAATTTTGAGCTTTTTTTTAATTAGCGTTTTTATTGTGAACTAAAAATTGTTATGGTCTTAAAACTGTTTAATTTAGCAATCATAAACATTTTAAAAAGCTAATTTAATAACTAAATTTTTTTTTTGTGATAAAACTTTTTTTATTATAAAGTTTGATTTGCAAAAATTGGCCATCAATAATTTTGGGAGTTCAAAGTATAAATTATTCCAAAAGTTGACAATCATTGATCGGCCATTATTTTGAGCACTGATATCTATACACACACTTATATATATATATATAAACAAAGATTTTCTTTTTATAAGTGTAAAAAGTGTAAACAAATTTTTACCATTATTTTTTGCTTCATAAATTTGATTGTAAATATTCCTTCAGACAACTAAAAAGCAATGTTATTCATGTTATTTTTTTATAAGTAAAATTTTTATTGTAGCTAAGTTAAACTATAGTTTAGTTAACTTAAGCTGCCTTGAAAAAAAAAAAACATTTATGAAAAAAAAATTTGTTTATGTTAGCTTCATATGTAAGCTATATTTTTGAGAAAAACATATAGCTTACATTTGCATGTTGGGTATATGTTTATCTCAAGATATTGGAGATTATATCATTTAAATTATTGTTTTTTTACATAAATTATTAAAAATATATATTTGTAAAAGATTTTATTTATTAACAAGTATAAAAATTATAAAATACAAGTATAAAAACCTTTTCAATACCAGCTAAAGTTGCTTCAGATTGGCCAGGAAAATCTATAAACAAAATGATATGAATAAACTTTATATCACAGTTGCAGGTTGTTATATTTATATCAAATTCCAAATGATTAAAATAAGGACCTGAATAAATGCTGAACTAAAATTAGACCAATTAGTTGTTTTCCAAACAAAATGGGGCTTTAAACTTTAAACAATTAAATTTTCAAACTCAAAAATAGTTTGAAATAAAAAATTGAAACATTTTTTTCAAAAAAGGTAATTAAAGCAATTTAAAGTTTTTAAAGTAATTTAAACAATTTTAAGTTATTTTAAGGGAAGGTTTTTAATAAAATAAGGTTATTATAATTTTTTAAAAGTATACAAAAAAAAAAAAAAAAAATTGACAAAAGCATGAAAAAAAAATTTTGTCAAGGTTCTTTTAATATAAAAATTGTTTACTTTTCTTTTAAAATACAAAAACACCTATTAAACAATGACAAACTCCTTAAGAGTTCGTCATTTTTTGATAGTATAAATTGCATATATAAATATGCAAACTATAGTGTATCCTAAATACCACATGAAAAAAAAAAAGTAATTAAATAATAACTTGATATAATTTTAATTGTAAATAAAATAAAACTGATATAGTAGTGAAATGAAGAAACAAAATTATTTTTAGAATAATCAAATAATATTGAAATAGAAGTGGCTAGGCTCTAAACAAAAAATTTCAAATTCTAAATGTATATATATGTATACTAATATATATACTAAGTGCATATTTTAGTGTGTAATACTAAGTGCCTTTTTTTTAAAAAAAAAACTATTTTATATGTAATTCTAATTGCCTTTAGTATACCAAAATAAATTTTTATAATGATAAAAATTTAAATAGAAATAGTAAGATTTTTCAAATGCGTTTTTTATCATTTTCATCGGAAAAAAGCAAAATGCACATTTTAAAAACTCTCACAACAACGATGCAGCTAATTACCAGAGAAAAAAAAAGCACAGATATATATGCACAGATAATAGACTATGAGATAGTTGATGTAGCAACGCTCCCATGTAGCAGCAGGCTATAAGATAGTTGATGTAGCAACACTCCCGTGTAGCAGCAGGCTATAAGATAGTTGATGTAGGAACACTCCTATGTAGTAGCAGGCTATAAGGTAGTTGATGTAGCAACACTCCCATGTAGCAGCAGGCTATAAGATAGTTGATGTAGCAACATTCCCATGTAGCAGTAGGCTATAAGATAGTCCATGTAACAACACACCGAACATATTTTACAGTAAAAAAATAAAAATAAAAACATCCTGAATGTTTTTATTTTTAAAAACATTGGGAATGTTTTTAAAAACATTTTAGTCCTTTAACTTGCGTTTTTGTGGTTTTTTAAAATAACTTGTTAAGTCAAATTAAATAGCATAGAGTAGCTACAGTGGTCAACCATCACATTAGGACCACACATTTTTTTTACAATTTATTTCAAATAGATTGCTTATACCCACATATGATAAAATAAATATGATATTATTTTTTGTTACATGTCAAGTTATTTCTATTCTTAGTTATATTTAATAAAAATTTTGTCAATTGGCAATTCTAACTGTCAGCAATCACCTGTCATAGTCAAATTGGTGCATATTGGACAATTTAAGATTATTTTTAGTTGTTAGTTTGATTGAAGTTTTAATGTGATTTATTTTAATTTTAAGCATTGGAGTGGGCTCAAAACTATTGTCACTTGTCTGATGAGGACTAGAAAAAACTTTAATTTGCACTCTTACTCATAAATTATTTAAAATATTTTATAAACATTATAACTTAAAATAAGCATTATTTTAGATTTGCTTCTCAGATGAGTTAACCTTTTAAGTAATGATGGACAAAATAGCTTTTGTTCACCGTAAAACAAATAAAAACTTTCATCCTGACTGCATTGTGAAAACAATCAAGCACTCAGCTTCAGTAATGATCTGGTCTGTCATTTGTGGAGGAGCAGGGCGTCTCTACAAAGTGGTTGGGACAACAAGGCAGGACCAGTATAAAGAAGTTCTGGAAAATCAGTTGCTTCCCCAAATATCAGATTGGTCTAAAAGAAAAGCTCTCCTAAAACGAACTTAAGGAGCCGTGCGATCTGCTTCTTATGTTCTTCTTACCTTACTTTCTGTGTTTTTACAGTTAGTCCAATCTAATCTAAAACATTTACATTTAAATCAGCGCTCTTTTTTAATTTTGATTTTTTTTTAAAAGAATTGCAGTTTATTATGCAATTAATTTTTTTTTAAATGAAATTGTGTTTTTTATTTTAGTTGAAACAATAATTATACTTTTGCAAGAAAAATTATACTTTTGCGAGAGCCGTAAATTGCTCCCGTAAACTGTTTTAGGGGAGTGTGGGAGAGAAGCGAGAGCTTTAGCTCTTGCTGAGGCCTGCTTACATATATAAATATATATAGGGTAAACTATCCATTAAAAGAGCATACCTATTAAATGACCAGACTTATTAATTTCAATTTATTTCTTATTCAATCTCTTTCAAGATCAAATTTAAAATGGACTAAAGAATATGTCTTTCAAAGTTTAACATTTTCAATTTCTTATTTTGAATGGCAAAAATGAACATGTATGAATTAGTTAATAAATATCAATAATATTTTATCAATTTTTAAAATCTGGTTTTACCCTCAATTTTCTCTTAATTTTATGATCAAAACTAATAGGTTTGATTATCCAGTAATTAATAAACAGAATAATAAGGCATACCTTTTCATTTATATTTTTTTTATTTGTAAAATCTCATGTAATTTCATGTAAAAACTAATTTTATTTGCAATTTGACTTTTTTTTTGTAGAGATTGGTTTGATTGTTTTCATTTAAATTTCTTTTTCTTACAAAATGGAGGTAAACCATCATTATTATGATGATTTACACTGGCGATGGTTCATCGGCATCAAGCAGGTGTTCACTGAGAAAGATTAACTTTACACTGACTTTAACCTTTCTCAGAGCATTTAAAATTTTTTTTTTTGTTTTGTTTTAACTAATCTTTGGAAATTAATTTTGGAATCAATAAAAAAGACAACTGTACAATTGACGTTCCCATTAAAATTAAATCATGCTTTTAGTTCAGGTTGTAATAAAGATGTTATTTTTAATAAGTTTGGAGTTCTTTGTGCTATATCTATTTATAGCAACTTATGAAATTACCTTAAAAGTACAATAAATATCTGAGCTGGTTATTTTTTGTATGATACTTATATACATAATTATAGTTAAAACAATTTGATGTAATAATAACTAAGTATAATAACAAAATACGTAAGTTTCAAAGAATATTTGGTGTTTTGGCTGAGCACCTAGCTGAATATTTGGTATTCTGCAAAATCACTATTCCTGACATTTCTAATCATTACATTTTTTTAATGCATTCTAAACACAGTCTTTTATATTTCAAATAAGTTTTACATAAATGCAAAAATATTGTATTAAAATAACAAATATTTATTACACAATTAATTGTATTTATTAATTTTAAGTTGCAAAACATTTTTTGAGGTCTTATTGAATAACAAATCTATTTATTAATTCATCTTTTTACTGTGACTGTTTCTTTATGCTCAAAAAAACATGATTCGTCTTGTTTTTTTTCCTAGCACATTAATTGATTTCTCTTGTCTTAATAATTTACTAACTCATACAATATACAGTTTTAAATCTTCTGTCTGCCATTTTCTTGCTTATTAGCTCTTTTCTACCAACTTAAATAGTGGTTGCTTGCAGTCTTGTAGAATCTACATGTTAGATCTACATATAAATACTTTTGTGACACCTTAGAAGATTTTATTAAAACTATTATATAGACTTATTTAATTATATTTAACTACATATAAGTTATTCTCACCAATATCATCAACTGATATTTGAATAACCAATGGAATCTCGCTGTTTCCAGGTATATAATTTAGCTATAATAAAAAAAAATTTATATAACATTTTATACTTAATTACAAATTATTGAAACTTTGAAAAATTTAAATTATAAAATTATAAAATTGCCAAACTAATACTTCTGATGGTTGAAAATCTTCTGGGTCTATGAGTAAACAAGTTCGAAAAACTTGGTTTGCCCCTTTACGAAACTTAACAGGTTCAGTTGATAATTCTGGTTTTCGAGATGCATATCTAAAACAAATGTGGTTATGAAAAATCATAGCTCACTAAAGTTAAAACAAATAAGAATAAAACTTAACTAATATAATAAAATTAGTTAAGTAATATAAGTCTAAGTCTCCCGCAATTTAAAATTGAAATAAAAACAGAAAATCTTTGTCAAAAGTTAAGTTTTCATGCTTAAAAATGGTTTGTGCAATAAAAAAATTATTTAATTTTTTATTTTATTTAAACTTTCTAGTCCACACAATTTATTTTTTAAAAAAAATCTTTGACTTTATTAATGTAAAAAGTCAATGATAAAATGCAGTCTGTGTTGTGTCAGAAAAAACAATCTGAACTGGGACTTATTATTTCTATTTAAGCAACTGAAGGTTTTCTTTATTTTGTTTAAATTCAAATAAAATTTGATGAACTTATCAAACATTTTCTAAAAAAGTCAGAGCCAAAGCAAATTATTCAAAAAATTTCAACAAAATTTTTACTTGCTTTGAATAATCTTTACAAACTTGGAATAGACAGTTGAGTAAGAATAAATACTTGAGTTCTTATATAAGTTCTCTCTAAATATTATATGTGTGCGTGCATCTTTTGTCCATTCAGAGTGGCTAACACCAATATTATAACTAAATATACATTAAATAAATTTAACTAAAATGTTTTTTATTAAGCACCTAAACTTTTTGAAAAACTTAACCATCATAAGGAAAAAACCATTTACCATCATAAAGAATAAACCATTTACCATCATAAAGAAGTCTAAAGTATTTTAAAGTAGCATGATTTCATATGTCAGAGTGAAAACCAAATTTAGTGTTTTAATATTGAAAATTCTATCAATTAGTTTTATAATAAAAATGCTGAACTGATAGAATGGATTTAAGAAATAAAACTGATAGAATGGATTTAAGAAATGTCATGGTTAATAAGGAACTATATTACATCATAAATATTGAAGAAATTACTTTCCTAGAAAATACCTTCCTAGAAAAACGTCCAAATTACGTTTTTCTAGGAAGGTATGATTAAAGTGTACACAAAAAAGTATTTTACAAAATTTGAAAAGTGTGTCCTGAAAAAAAAGAGGTGCTTATTGTGATAAAAAAAGTGTGTTTTTCCCTTATTAACATACGCAAAATAACAACTAGTTTAGAATGAAGTTCAGTTAAGAACTTATTTAAGGAATAGACTAGTAGCTAAAAACCAAACTCTTTAATAAATACCATTACAGAAAAGAACATTCAAGTTTCATATCAATAAATAAAAGAATGCAATCAAAATCAATAAAAAAATATTTTAGTTTCAACATTTTGTTAGCATTAACTTAACATGATTGACATAATAAAGCCTTAAATTCTTTCCGTGTTGTATAAAAGTGTAACACGTAATAGTTCGTTTTGTATGTTTCTTTGTATGTCGAAATCATTCAGAATTATGTCCAAATCACTCAAAATATGTCCAAATCACGCAGAATATGTCCAAATCACTCAGAAGTTTGTATCAGGAAAACTCACTGAATCTTGAGTGAATAGTTTCTTCTTCCTGTTCACTGTAAATTCAGAGTCCATATCTATTTATGTTATTAAATGGATATGGACTCTGAATGTAAATTCAGAGTCCATATCCATTGTTATGTAAAGGTATTTCTATGAAATACCTTTACATAACAAAATAATATATGCAGTTTAACACTTTTTGCTTTGATCTCCGAAGTAATAAAAAAAAATTAAGAAAATCATTTATAGCTTTTTTAACACTGAGTATCTTGCTAAAACTCAAGTAAACCACAGCATCAAATGCATCAAAGGCATCACAAAATCTCCTAAGATCTTTAGGAAAAACATCTCTAAGCTTATTTGTTAATCTCATCAATTTCCTACACTGCTTTCCACCAAGAAGTTTTTTGTCTGACAAGGAAATTCCTTTCAAGGAATATTTCCTATTTTTCTTGTCCCTATCTACTTAAAAGATTATTCCACAATAGATTAATTGTTTCTATATAGAGATGAAGTTTTGGTACAATGCATACTTACATAAGTTCAGTTTCATCATCTCCTGGCAGAAGTGGTTGATTCTTGCAATTATAAAATTCGTTCAGTGATGAGTCAGAATTACATCCTTGTTTCCAAGCAAGATTTTGCTGTTTATTTGACCTGGTTTTCTATTTGATCCGGCTGTCTATTTGAACCGAAAGGTTCGTTTATCTTGTGTAGAGTAAAGCCAATCTACACAATCTGTACTCTTATTACAGAAACAACAAGGATACTTTGGAACTATGGTTTCGAAGTCCTAAAATTAAGTTAAGTAGTTTCAATTCAGAGCAAGATACAAACTGAATTTTTCTATATTCAGTTTGCATCTTGCTCTGAATTGAAACTACTTAAATCAATACTTTTGAAAAAGATTTCACAGCTTTTATAATTCTTCTGAATGGTTTGGACTATTCCTAAAAGCAATGTCTGATCAATGGATGCTTCTTTTTTCAGGTTTAAAAAAATGCCCTCGGAATAGTTTAATCTCATGGTGATATCATCACTAAAGTAATTTGCCACATCAACAGTACTAATTCCAAGCTTAAAGAAACCTCCACCACCTTCAACAAATACTTTCACCTTACCTTTAAAAATGTCATATTTTCTTTTTTTAATCATTTTCCAGATGAGTTTTTTCACATCTTTAACATGAACAACAGGTCGCGCAAATAAAGTCTCAGTTTCCGATGTATAGAAATCAAGGTCTAGTGCTTAAAAGTACTCGACTAAAAACCCATTATTATATACCATGCAGACCTTGTTTTAAATAAAAAAGTGCTTAATGCATTAGCTTAACGCAATATTTGACGTCATAAAATTATTTTGATATGCATTTAGAACGCGTTCGCCAGGAATTTAATTCATATTAAACCATTCTGCACCATTCGGCTTGATTGATCTTTTTGAAGCTGTAAAAAATCGCCCTCTTGATTCAAGGAGTTTTTAATTATCTGACAAAGGTTTATTGAACCAAAAACTTTTGTACAAGTATGTCCTTGTTATGATTCAATGGATTGAAAGCACTGTTTTCATATAGTTATAGATATTTTTTTAGATGGTTTTTTCAGAACTCTTGGTTTACCTTCAGGTTTAGCTCTTTTTATTCCAAGTTTTGCTGATTTTACCACTTTGCAGATAGTAAAATCACAGAGATTTTTACTTCTGGTTAGAATGAAGAAAACAACTCCTAATGCTGCAAGTCGATGTAAATGAAGGGAACAAGGAGTAGTAGTTGCCACATTTATACTACTTAAAATTCATTTATACTACATTTAGTTATATATATTTAGTTATATGATTATGTAATACACAAATATACATTTTTATTGTGTTATACACAAATATATTACATAATATTTATGTTATTATATAATACAATATTCTTAGATCTTTTTATATTATGTATTATAAATAAATTATTTAAAATAATTAAATTATATAATATATATTGTTATATAATACTTTGTTTATAGTACTAATAATTAAAGTAATAATTAACCAAAAAAATAACTGTAAGTATCTATTATAGTTAATTTTATGAATTTACAAATAGTTTATAATTTAATAATATTTTTAAAATGCTTCTGGATTTTACCGCTAATTAGTTTATTTTACTGATTTGTAGCAGTTTAATATACATCTATACCTATCTATCTATCTATCTATCTATCTGTCTGTCTATATATATATATATATATATATATATATATATATATATATATATATATATATATATATATATATATATATATATATATATATATACATATATATATATATATATATATATATATATATATATATATATATATATATATATATATATATATATATATATATATATATATATATATATATATATATATATATATACATATATATATATATATATATATATATATATATATATATATATATATATATATATATATATATGTATATATATATATATATATATATATATATATATATATATATATATATATATATATATATATATATATACAGGCTTCCCCAGGAAAGGCGTGCGGTCGCACGCCTTGTTTGTCCACGCATAGAATAAATTTTTCTGACTAACTGACCACGTTTTATTATTATGCGTTTTAAGAATTCGCGCCAAAACAAAATACCGCAAAAATGCAAGCAATCTTAAAGTAAATAACAGAAATCTGTTTGTGCTTTAAAATTAAAAAATTAATGTATATTATTAAAAAAAAATTTACCTTTATTTTATTTATTTATTTTTTTCGGGTGGTAGTTATTTAAGCTATGAAAAATCAAATCAATAAGAAAAATCAAATCAAAAAGAAAAAGAATAATGTTTAAAGAAAATAAAAAGGACCTTTTAATGTAAAATTTGTTTATGACTTTCATCAGTCAGTAATACTTTAATATTCACGATAGAACTATAAACAATTTTTAAATGTTTCGTAAATATTTTTAAATGCTTAAATGTATTGATCTTAATGTTTGAATGTATTGATACGCAAGAAAACACAAAAACAATTGCTATTTATTAGTAAAATATGTTTTTTTTTTTTTTTAATGAAAGAAAATTTTATTGCCAAACGATTGAGTTGCTTATTTTGCAATCATTAATTGACATTGTGAACGAGTGTTAATATATAATAATGTCCCGAAGGAATTGTTTTCGTAACAATGACAACAGAAGCAATGCAACTATTTTTTTAACTTCTTTCGTAATTACAAAATTATGCAATTGAATAACTTCAACGTAATAAAAGGCGAGCATTGACTCAGTATAATCAGTTTAGAATAAGTCGAGAAAGAACTTTTTTCACATTAAAATTTTGTTATCTTTAAAATCTTAAATAATATATTTAATAATTAAAACAGCAATTTATTTTCTTGTCTATGTATTGGGGAATAAAGTCATTGCCTTTGCATAAACCTTCGTAAAAACTAAATTAAATGAAAAAGTTTAACCAAATTTGTCTAGCGTAAATAATGAATAAGTTT